TTAATCCAATTTGCGGACTCTACTGCGCCCATTGACATACTATTTCCACTTCGATTGTGCGTAGCCAGTCTGGTTCGTCCAGGTGGCGGTGATGGGTAGAAAGGGTACTATAACTGAGAAGCGTCTTTCTTTGATGGTCGCTGGTATACCAATGGCATCGATAATTCTGAGTCTGTTGACCGGGTTTCTGATCCATTTTGCTGCCTCCGTGGTGGTTAGTTCGATGATGAGTCCTCCGTTGCGTAGACGAGTCGTGGCTTTGATCTGGATGTCTGGTGTGTCTTCTGTTTCGGTTGCTGTGATGGCCTTCTTAATTTCGGATGCTATTTCTGCTGATGTTATCTCGGGTGCGAATAATACTTTGCCTGGGGTCGGGTCGAATAGGATTTGTTTTGTCCCTCGTTGCTGCTCTAGCGATTGCTGCTGAGACTGTTCCTGGGGTCTGAGTGCTTTGTTGAACTATTGCGCTGTATGTTTTCGGGAGTTCTGCTTGAGGGCTGGATGTCCGGTCCGCGTTGCTGATGAGATCCTGGGAAATCTGTTTGATGCTTGATTGCGTGGCGCTGATAGACGGGGTCAGTGATTCTATTGCTTTTTTAACATCGGTTATACTGTTCATAACCGCGTCGGCTGTCTGTTCGGCACGAGTGGCTGCTGCCATTGCCGATGGGTTTTCATTGGCATGTTTTGAGTTTACTTCAAGGGCGTTGTTGAGTTTCGCTAAATCGTCGATGTTTGATTTGAGAGACTCTGAGGCAGTGAGGATCGTGGCAATTTGAGGTGAGATAGCTGCGATGACGTGGGTTGACAAGGATGTTGTGAGGTCTGCGATGATTTGAGTCGATATTAAGGTTGAGAACGATTCGCTGATTTGATGGGTGGGTGATTCTGTTGGTGCTCCGCTGAGAAGAACATCTTCTAGTAAGATTGCTACCGCTCGTAGTCCTTCGATCACGATGCGTGGTATACCTGTATATTGAGTGATGTGCAGAATGGTAAGAATTAGACTCTCGTTTGATATGGGTTCGCCGGATTGGCAAAATGGGGACTTCTCTAGGAATATGATACTGCTTTCTTTATCTTTTACATCGTATTCTTGATGCAAGATTTCATCTTTCGGTATTAAAAGGGATACCGTGTTTCGATGAGAAGCTCTGGTTCTATTGGTGGGAGTGGGGGCTCGGCTGGTTAAGTTTCCTCCCGTTTGCGTTGGTCGCGCTCTCCCTGAGGCCATTTCGTTGCTAGCAACTATAATGCAGACCTTCTAGGTTGGTCTGTCTGGTATTTGAAATGAGAAGCTTTGACGTCTGGGACGTCTAGAGCGCTGGTGAGCGCAGTGCTGGGAGCCGAAGTTTTCCGGGGTCCTAGCTGGGTGCCACTTGGTAACGGACCAAGAAGCGATCTGTACATGCTTACATGTTACTAAGGCGTACATAGTCGTGGTTGTTTGCAACATTTCTACTTGGTCTCGAATGTAGCTTGGTCCTATTACTGCGTCGATATAGGCTACTCAATACAGCAATGTTCGATGTCTGATTAATTGGTCGCTGGTCAGATGTAGTCCTGCAGTGGACTCTGGGTCTATGCGCCATCAATCAACTGTCTGCGGGATATCGTCTACGGTTCACTGCAAGCTTTCTCTCGTTTCCAATCGCACTTCCTTCACCCGCTCGCACCCCTGGCAAAGGCCGATCAAATAAACCATGTGAAGGATATCGACCTGGTACTGTGTTACATATCCCGCAAGCTAATGAGGGAGTGCTTCACTCACACCTGCTTACAATCGATGATAGCATGTTTTAACTAGTCTCTCTAACCAGACCATAAAGAAGAACGGTAGTCGTTCCTTATAATGCCATTATAGGATTTCATGCACTTTCCCATACTGACATCCCGTCGTAGACGGTGGCGAATCAATATAGCGCTTGGCGGTGAAGACTGAAAGTCTTTTGAGCCTCGAAAGGCAGGATGAGTCTATTGTGAACAGTGAGCGCTCGTGAGCCTTGAACGATGTATGATGTAACATGAGCATTGGACAGAGATAGTAAGTGAAGAAAAATCACATCTATATTCACAGCTCCATCCTTCCGCGTCCTGCATGATTTTGAATAAAACGAAGGCATGAACATCAATAACACTCGTTGCTGCCTTTATATTGGCAGACACAAACTTGGCAAAGCTTTGCCTACAGACGCAGACTCAGGTAAGCTTCAAGTTGAGCACATCATTCTTCTCGTGATCGTCATCATCCCGTGCGTGGGGCAGGAGTACGGAGAGACGTCGAGCGCATCAGTGGTAACCTCGTACGTGATAAGTAAGGAAGCGGAAGCGGTTCCAATTATTAATATAGAACCATCGCTACGGGAAGACATAAGAATGATGGAAGCCCAAGACTCATCAACTCAGAGCTGGCTGTATGATCAGTACTGCAGTAGTGTATACTTGGAAGGAACAAGTCAAGGTACCGTTGACTCAGGTCACGGCCGTTTCAGGAGACTATATACTATCGCATTCTTATGATTAGCTTTGAATGTATTATAGATCTTGAGTCCTTCTGGCTCACTACACACCAGAAACACTGGAAACGTTGAAGTCGGGAATGCAAGTGATGTCGAGATTGGTCTGGTTGCTCGGCGAGAAGGACTAGGTAATGCATTCGAAACCAATTATTGTAAGCCACCGCTTCCTGTTCTTTACTTTAGATCAGTCTCGTGAGTCCGAGTCGCAACGATCAAGTTCACCCTCAGGCAACCGAGCTAGCGTTCGGTACGCACAGACCCAGTGTTCGCTGTCCACGTCTGAATGCATCAATCGCTGTATTCTCGAGTAAGATATCGATGTGGTGTCGGACCAAGCTACATTCTACAGAGACACCTTGAACATGTCCAAAGAAGTACGCGGCTCAATCTATGAAAATATGTGTGGTGGTCGCAGCCAGCTCATTCGTTATGATGGAACAGGAAGTACGTAAGCCTTAATACCATCCAAGGTATAACCTTTGCTGATAGTCTCCAACACCTCCGGTACGGATGTAGTGTAAAAGTGATCCGTCTCCTTCGAGCTGTACAGACGATAGAGGGGAATGCTTCCGCATATGTTAATGTCATAGACATATGCAGCGATCTCCTCGAGGGTGTAGTTGCTGTCTGCTTCTGCTTCTGCGCTCTCTACCTCGGACCATGACGTGGTGTAGAAATAGTCCACAACACTCGGATTGTACATGCGATATAGCGGGGTAGTGGAGGGCACATCGGTGGTAAAGACATATGCGGCGTCTCCCTGCAGGATGTATCCGAGATTGGTCTCTGCGTTTTTCATCTCAGTGACATTAGTGGTATAGAAGTGATCCCAATATGTTGACTGGCAGGCTCTCAGAAAAGCGACTGCAAGCGAAGGGTTGCAGTAGTACTCTGTCGGAGGGCTATCTATGACCTGTTTCAAATCAGCCAACGCCGAATGGTCCCAAATCGAACATACCTCGAGATCCGCAGAACGAGCTGAGGGAGAGGCTTTTGTTAAAGCGACGAGAGGAGCGAAGAGAAGGATCGCAGCTTTCATTGTGGTTAAGTTGAACAGAAACTGAGGAATCATGCACGCAGCCCACCGTATTTATACCCATCAGTGAGACTTGGGGTCATATCTCATAAAGTCGAAGTTCACCGTGTTGGTCCTTACCTTGTGACTACGTATTCCCTTCTTGAACTTATCACTTTCATGTAGCATCTGCAGCGCTTCGTCCCACGTCTGGAAGGTGCTCGCCGATCATGATAATCTCGGGGGACCAGGTCTCAAAATTCCTACCGAGACTTGACAGGGAAGTGCAGGCCTCGAAAATGTCGGCGCCGCCCACGCTCACCGCCGATGTGACAGATTGCAAAGTAGGTACCATTTGCCTGATCGCGGTCATGATCGCACTGAAGCTTAGAAGTCCCGCCCTGTCAAGCCATCGTCGCCCGATGACGGTATGCAAACGCCTGCGGCATGTTCCTTTCCTTGCGTAACTACCACGCTGCCGCGTGTTCTTTTCATCCTGGAACCGTTGACATTCTTGCAATAGATCTTGCAGTTCGAGGTTTGGCAATACGATGTCGAACGCGCAGCAGCTGATTAAGCAGGGCCTAGCCTAGCGAGCTCGAGCGTGGTACCTGTATATTTTGATGTCAGTGCCCGTTCAAATTTAGTAGTGAGAGTTATGGAACTTGTGTGGAAGAGCAAGGGCTCGCAGCCTCCCCATGGTTACGCACGCCAAAGACGACGAGTCAACTAGTCACTCGCGGACAACACGTGCGACGTGAGCGAAGGCAGGTTGAAGCCCGCCTTGTGGATGATTTACATGTCAATATATTCGGCCCAATCTAAACTATTAATGTGAATGTGAACCGTCCGACATACGTATATATTATACACGCGAGCCGCGAATGGCATTCCATCAGAGAATATCTACCTCGTCCTTGAGGGGCAAGGCTATTGTCAAAGCGACAAATAGAGCGAAGAGGAGGATCGAGGTTTTCATCGTGGCTAAGCTGAAGAAGCTGAGGATAACAGCACGCAAATCAATATATTTATACTCAAATGAGACTTGGTGTCATACCTGGCACTTCACAAAACCGCGGACATAGTCGAAGTTCTCCGTAAATATTTGAGAGTCAAGGAGCTTTCCGCCCGACAGGCCACCACTTTGTGATCGCTTGAATAGTAAGTGCTGAGTGCCTCAGTTCTTCAGCCTAGGCATCAGGGACCCACCATGTTGTATAGACCCGAGTGTGCCCATACAGAATCATTCCGATGACCGTGTGTTATTGAATTAATTTGTTGGAAACCTGACTCCGTCCAGATGTACCTGATGCGACTGCTAGAATGATAGCAGACATCTTCTCAGTGGATGTTCCGCTGGGTCTGCGCCCGTCCCCAAGGTTCTCCAGAGCCAGAATTGCGTGAATTTGCAAATGTGATATTCTGGGGCCCATTAGTGGACACGGCCTCACGAATGTAGCTCTCGGCGTCTATAATTCACCGTCGATTTAGCCATCTCCCGCTCAGTTTCGTTTTTCTCGGCGCCCATTTGTTTTCGTTTTTCGTTGTCACGGAAACGTTCAGTTAGCTCTCGCGTTGGTTTTACTACCTTCGTTTTATTGTAGCAATCACATCTGGGCTCCTTGATCGCATCAAGGAGTCGTTATCTGCTACCTCTACGTCGTGCGCTTAGCGTGATCCAGCGAAGTTGATTAGGGCGCTTACCACGGGATGCGTAATCAATTGCCAATAGAGTGCAAGAAACAAGTACTTACTGCTCTGAACAACCTGAGCGCTCCTAGCAATGTGAACTTTGGCTGTTAGATTATTTTGATAGTGTCATATCAGACTCGGAATTTGCTCGTGAGTGCAAAGTGGGTCAAGCAAGTAAATCTGAACAGCGCGGACCTATGAAGGGGAGAAGTTCAAGACGCGTATATACGTAGGGTGAGAAACTTTTGAGAAATGCATTATAGAGTCCTTCACGATTGATTTTTCAGGAACACGCGCGCCAGGCGCCTGCCGGCATATACTAAAGAGAGAACGGGCGCCTTCTCTGCTGAGAGATAACTAACTAGCTTCTGATTTTGCCAGATAGCCAATCCGGTATTCTTTGAGCCGACATCAACTACTTCACTCACAAGAGAACTCCAGGCAGCGGTCGTCGACAGTCATGACCTCCTCATATCCTTACACACCTACAACATTTCGGACAACCGTGAACCCGCGCCCGTGGGCGCCATTTCACCCTCATGAAGGGCACGTCGAGGTCCCGCCCCTGCCCTTCAAGCCCAGGTCCGATAGCTTACTTGGCATTTACAATATCAGCACGCATATCATACCTGCAGCCTATCCCAGAGTCACCCCGGATATTCCAGTTCCCCAACCGCCTCCTCGCTCTTCGAAAAGAGACGAGGGAAGTATCAAGAAACTGGGACTTGAACTCATGGAACAACAGCTCCGGCAATCGGAGGATGGCTATTCCGCGGTCACAGACGAAAGGCCGCTTTGGAATTGTGTCAACCGATATGTGAAAAAGGACAAGGAGACCAACGCCAAATCGAAAGGTATCACCTTGTTCCTTGTGCATGCAACGGGCTTTCCGAAGGAAGTGAGTTTCCTTATGCCCGTTCATGTATGCTAGGGATCTGACTGTATTAGATATGGGAGACCACTCTGTGTTATCTGCTACCTGCTTGTGGTGTCATAGACGAGATATGGTCATGGGAGTCGGTGCAACATGGGGACTCTGCTCTGCTAAACAGACGGAATCTTAATGGTAGCTGTAAGCAGACGTTTCTCAGACCTTCCCGCTTGGATTTAATGGAGAGCAGTTGATTGGACTGACAATGCGAGAGACATTGCCAACTTTCTCATCAACTACATGCCAGAAGAGGTAGAAACATCTGCTCTACCTATTCAACTTCATCGACTTCCTGCATCAGTTGGTGAATCACGTCAAAAGAATGGGTTCTCCTCCAGGACCACAGTCGCAGCAGGACACTCGTTCGGAGGTTGTTCAGTGTATGCCATTCGCAGTTTAGAGACCTGTCGAATCTCACAATATTGCACAGAACCTTAGCCGCGTTGAATTTCCCGGCCTTGTTTTCCTCGATGGTCCTCCTTGATGCGATGATCGATACATTCCAAGAATTTACATGGGAGCCCACGCAGCGCATGGTTGGGGCTACATTGCTAAGGCGCGAACAATGGCCATCACGGTGCTTACACTTTGTTAATCATCCTTGCGTCGGAGTACTGACTGTGATTGTAGGGAGGACGCCTTGCGTTCATTCAAATCTTCACCCATGATCTCTGCTTGGCATCCTGACGTACTTCGGCTTTATGTCGATTACGGACTGTACGACGACGAAGGTGGATACGTCAGATTGAAAACGCCTCCCATTCACGAGGCTCTTGTCCTTGCGAACCCACGAGCTGGCCGCGAAACCTGGGAGTTAATGGAAAACCTTGACGAGAAAATTGAGCTCCTGTGGATTCTCCCCGGAAAAGAAAGCCCCGACGTGTAAGCTAGGGCGGCAGGACCAAGTTTGGTTACTGATAGGCACTATCTGACAGATCAATGTTATTGGAAGTGAGGAAGCAGCGTGCTTGGCGCAGACCTGCAAATTCATCTAACATTATCTTGAAGTCATCTGGCCATCTCGTCTGTATCTCACTTTAAATCGTTTCCATAACTAACATAATTTTGCCTTAGATTCCTCAGGAGTCTCCAGAGGAGCTTGGTACGTTGACCTAAGGGACTAATTGATTGATAACTAACTATTCATATAGCGCGAGTTATGGCCGACTTTCTGCACAAGAAATACGATATTTCCCCAATAAAGCACAAGCTTTAAAATTGTGGATATGAACGGGTGTTGAGCGACATAACATACCTGGAAACCTTGGCAATGACTCCGGCGAGCCTATATTGATGAGACGAGTGTATGAGAGAGAGAGAGAACTTCTATATTTATATACCGCAACAAACAAAGTAAACTGTTAAGACGCGGTGCCCTGTTGGGGATGTACTGGGGAATATTGTAACAGGGTAAGGGGTGTAAGTATAGTACGAATAGCCAATCGGTCCACGTTTGAGAAGTTTCGGTGCGCGTATAAGTTCGTTCGGTGTCCAGGCTGAGTATAATATGATTTCTCTCCTTCCTCCTCCTTCTGTGCTCTCCTCGTCTCCTCCCGGACGAGTGTATGAATTTTTAAGGAGATAGTAGTATGACACTTCGGAACTCTCGTGGTAAACGAGGCGAATCGCTCGTCGCCAATGGTAACTATGAACCCCCTTTAGCACTAATAGAATAGACAAACCCTAATTATGAGTAACCTGACTAGCAATTCCAACCGTCAAAAACTATCCACCGTATTTCTATGCAAGGCCAAAACAACATCACAACTGAGAGCTTGCATCACAGTCGAGCCCGCTCCAAAACGAAAGGCTTCTGCTGCGATGTCTCAGCCCAAGGGGAGCTATAAACAGGCAATGTCTTGCTAAATGCCTCCCATCGCTCATCTGATATGATGGGTGACGTGATGTATGGCTCAACCTTCATCTCGGCGAGCAACTCGTCCAGGTGGGGCAAAGCTGCCGACAAAGCAGCATCCTCCATACGCATGATGGTCTGCCGCGTAAACATACCACGTTCTACATACCACGCTGAATCCGTCTTGATTGCGTTGATGAGATACAGATCGATGAGATACTGTGAAACGCCTTGGTCGATGGCAGCGTCATAGGCCATGCGGTGTCCCATAGACTCGACCATCAGCTGACAGCGCGGCTGTACGTATTGCATGAACGCTTGGGTGAAGTCGGCTGAGGAGGAGACTGTCTCAGTTGCCTCCTCGAATAACGAGACTTCATGCAATGCAAGAGGGCTGTCTTGGTGTGTCGAGGGTGGTAACGTGTACGTCTGCGCCAAAGTATCTGCCACGAGTCCTGAAAATTGTCCGTCAATATTTAGTTTCCGCAGAGGTCGATGTGTTGCACTGACGCATGGATAACCCTAGTGTCTTTGGTCAGTATGACATCACTAGCGAAGTCTAAAAAGTCACCAACCTAGAATGTCGCCTTCAGCAATGCTAATTCCCCTCATCTCGCTCTGTAAAACAATTTAATTATCGCTCTGCCATAACTGTCCAGGAGAAGGCGCGCGTACATAAATATTGGACAGTTGATTATATTCGAAGAGGCCTTGAGCTCCGAGTCTTTCAGACAGGGCACAATTTGCAACCTGTGCGTGTTGAACCCCGACTGCCTTACAGCAAGCCGCGACGCCATGTCGCACACGAACATCAAGATTCTTGTCCATGAACGCTTCGATAGCCCATTTAAATAGCGCTTTTAGCACAAATGCCTGAGCGATGGCATGCATTAAAGGGAGCTGCTGCGTCCGGAATGAAAGTATGGGTACAAGCTTTCCATGCACGCCGGTGACATGACGACGCTGAAAGTAACGCGCGGCGATGTATGATGACACCTGGAAATTAGGGACTGTAATTGAGCCAAGTGCTAGCGACCCGACCGCGACACGCCATATGGAGGACATAAAGTCACGATGTATTCTGTCGGACTTGTTGAGGTTCCCCAGAAGGGCTGAAGGCGGTAGGCGGACATGATGAAAGTTTGTCAGCGAATGGTTGACGGGAGTCGAGCCTCCTCTAGGAGGTAGTAGCCTGTTTGTGAAGGTTTAAGTGGGTGTGAGATAGTTGAAACAAAGGGGACTCACTTCGCAGTCACCCCAATGCACATATCATATCCATCGTTTATGTTGACTAGAAACGGTCTAGGTCCACGGCATTCACCATTCACGTAGAGTTGTGCGAAAACAATGGCGATACATGACAGACCTTTCACTGGAACAGTCGGCGGCATGAATCTTGAAAAAAAAATGATTAATAGTTCTCAAAGAAATACTGATATCATACTTTGCATCCGAGGGCGAAGGCGTATGAAGATCAAATTCGCCCGATGGGAGAAGTGTTGCTGATGTCTTCATTCGGAAGATGTCTAGACCTCTCCCCAACTCGGTAAGGCAGAATTGGCCACTGCGATGATATCATGTAGCACTTGCACAAAATTGATATTACAGCTTACTCACCTAACATTCCATCGAAGAAGGTCCTCGACGAGAGGAACCAATTCAGGTCTCGTAGTCGCAGCATATTGTGCAAGTGTTCCTGCCACCAAATTGTATTGGATTGTCAGCAGCGTGGTCGCGGCCCCATCCAAACCCAAGATGGGGTCTGTGTGCAAGTCCCAGAATTTTTTCGTCAAATCCAAAGTGTCATGAAGAGTGATGCCTGTAATTACAAGATCAAGATGTACCCCGTGAACGAAATAAATAAATAATGTGCACCATGTGCTAGGCCAATAGCCCTGGCCCTCTCGTATGAAAGAACCACTCGAGCATCACGGCTGAGGAGCTCGGAGCGTTTCCTGAATAGACCCGACTGTGGAAGCTGAAATGTGGGTGTCATCATGAAGCGAGTGGGGGGAAGAGTAGTATGCTACGGTTGGGACCCTTATTCTCGTCCGTTATTTTATACAGCCATTGCTCACGTATCTTGAGAAGGACGGTATTTGAACCATGCACGAGGACACACTGTGAAGCGAACTTAAAATCCACTGGCAGTGTTGGAACTTGGTGGAGCCGAAATCACTTGTCCAAGTTGTCGGTAGCAGATTGGCAGTCCGCTCAACGCACCTTCAATTCAAAATATTCGAGAAGACCATTTGAGGATGTTGTGTCCGTTAGATAGTTTAGTATAGCTCTGTTTGTCTGGCCAATCTACTGTCAAATTTTCAAATGGTCACAAGCATGATAAAAAGGAGGCGACTCAAGCTGTATACTGTCACTAATAAGTTACTAAATTAATAAGTACTGGACGATGTGCTCGGCGTTTCGAGGGTTTCGGAATCTTGATAAGTTACATACCTATACCGTAGGTTGAGTTCGGTGTTGCTGTTGTAGGGCCTGCCGTTCAAAGATCTTAACCCATAATGTTCGCTTGGCAAAAAGAAGATTGGTGCTTACGGAGTGCCTGTGGTGATCGAGCAACGCGATTGGTGGAAAACAACGGCGAGGGACGAGCTGGCGGAGGAAAGGCCCGAAAGGGAGAGTAGTCTGGGATGCGCCACCTGCAAAACCACTGAAATGAACGCTTTACTTACGCGCGTTACGGACACTTACGAACACTTACGACTTCAATAGCGCAGCGCATCGGATTGGTGGAGGTTCTGACGAAACTACAGTCTAGATCGGCCTTTCCAATTTGTGACCTGCACGTGATCCTCGCATCTCTTGACCAGTGTATATTCGAAGTCATGAATTTGTATCCCGTGTCAAGTACTGTCTCCCTGAAAGACATCTGTCAAGATTCCAAGCTAAAGTATGAATACATAGAAGTACAAATACATCGAATGGTGCAATACAGCAAATCCAACATTATTGGAAAATGATCCGCTCGTCCCAGCATTGTGCCCCGACTACTTGCAGCGCTCGTCATCAAAAACCCAGTGGCCGTATATGCCGCCCTTCTAAAAAATCATCAACAAATCATGTCAAATCGATGTGACTGAGCAGCGAACCCTTTCGAAGCAGAACTGTGCGCCTGGGAAATGCATCCCACGGAAATTTACAGGAGTGGTGGCACAGAACTCCCTCCAATCGCCTCCCTCCGGGAGGTTTTCAAGGTAATGTTCAACACGCTACACATTATCAACTCTATTCACTGTATCGTGTCTGAAAAACTCACCCGCTGACCAGATCCAGGAGAAACACAGCCCTGCGAAAATCAGTAAGCCGCAAATATACAGACGAGAAGTTGGATTGATCGACTAACGAGATCTTTGTACCAATTCCAATATGATGCGCAATCCGGCTGCTGCTGCTCGACTTCCCAATGACCCATTATATTATTTGGACCCTAAATACGGAATATCAGCTGCTCGTATTACCACAAAACACGGGATCACTCACATGATCCTCACACCACTTGGGTGTGTATTCAGCCCCGTGGATCTGTACCGGTGTGGCCATGCAAGCCTCCACGCGACGGTTGTAATTTGATGGAACATTCACCAGTCGAGCAGTGTACACTCGAGTGGCGTATGATGTGCATGTGTGGGACTCCAAGTCGGTCCAAAACATATTCAATCTTAAACGTTCTTCCTCTTCGCGCCTCTGCCTCTCCTTCACTTCTCGATTGTGGTCTTCCACTTCTCTGCCCCACTGTTCACGGAGACGAATTCTTTCATTGTCTTCGAAATGCCAGCGCTTTTCGGTGTCAACGCGCTCCCGTACTTTTCCCTCATGCTGGCGAAGTTCGGACTCCCATTTCTTGCGAATACGGTCCCGGACGTCCGGATCTAAAGGGTCATTACAAGCGTTAAACACTGATGCGAAGATGATGATCGCAATTGAAGCAGTGATGATCGCAATCAATGCTGTTCGGATACGACTCTTGGATGCATTTCCTAGCAGAGGGGTTCCCTCTGACGGGCTACAAGGCATGTCATCATTCATCGAGTATCGGACTATTACCGAGCCTCACGCACTTAGGAGTCTGCTCGTAAGGCGGGGGGGAACTACGCACCCTCATTAGCATCAGTAACAGCAATAGTACACTGTACCTTACTTGTAGTATTGTCTCCGAGTCATTTGGGAGAATTTTCAAGATTCGCGAATTGTTGTGGACTAACCATAGCGCCACAGAAATATCACTGTTGAACATTGAATTCTAGTTGAAAAGTTAAGATTAACGAACATCTCCCTCGATTTATCAACCTGGTCAGGACGCTGAGAAACCTGCAGGGCTTCCCTGGTAAGTTATGAGGAATAATAAGCATCCACCAGACTCACACAGGAAATTGCGGACGATTATTGACAAAGAGCAGGCCTATCTGAATGAGGAAGGTGGTTAAGAACCGTTTACCTTGCGGTTACAGATTCAGTCGGAGTCGCGGCATTGATATCTAATGCCGCTGTTTCGAACATACTGTATCATGCAGCTTCCTCGACATGCTGTGTCCACACGCTGAGCAATTAATAAGCATCCTCGCATGAAATACCTGAACTTATCGTTAATGAAGGCTGAGAGCGGCATATTTTCAACAAGTTTCAGACACGGCGGTGCAGTTCAGGAGTGCATCGGTGCTTGGAATTATTGTACAATTTACAAACCCACATGTCCCTTTCAGTCTTGTGTACAAAGGCATGCACACATACGCGGCGGACCCCTAGTTATTGCTACACGACGAATGTCGAACAGAGCACGAAATGAAAAAGAAAAGAAAACACATCATAATTGTACATTACGCTCCATTTGTCACTCTCACCGTCCCATGAGCTCCCCCAGATCTAAACCCACCAGTGAGTTTCTGTCACCAGCACCAAGCGTCGGCACCATCCGTGGACTATCCCTGACGTCTCCCAGCCCCAAACTTGGCACGAGGCGCGGACTGCTGACATCTGCAGTTGGGATGATTCGTGGGCTTGGGCTGAGACGCATGCTCGTCCTGCTACTTGACCTTGAGCGCGCAAAATCTCTGCTGGACTGGGAGAGATCCCGTGTGTGCGAGAGCGACCCGGAGCGTGACAAGTCCCGCACAACGCCAAGAGACGAGGAATGTGAAGATGAGGATGAGGCACGTCGGTGCCGCATGCGTTGTGTGGGGTCGACATTTGGGATGTTGGCGATGCGTGCGAAAAGAGAGAGAACTACATGGTAGAGACTTGGCATCAGAGACGTGCGAGATATTCGACAAACGAAACACGCACTATCGACAACGCTGACAATTCCGCACAGTCCGCCGCCCATGGGCGAGCCTGGAGATGAGCTGGGCTCGAAATCAGAGTCAGTTACGAAGAGCCGGTGCGCATTGGCTGATCATTTAAAAGAAGGAATCATGGCCAATGGAAGAGTCGCGTGCGAGAAATGCAGAGTAAGTCATTAGTCTATCCAATTCTGCGAGTCGGAAAAAGTGACGCACTCGCGAGCAGTTTCTGAATTGCATATGAGAGTGTACTGGTGGGGAGGACAACATACACTGTGGCCAATTGTCAGTTAAACCACCCGAATTCCAATGCAAGTAGACGCAAAGCACACAAGGAGTTGTGGTGGAATTACAAAATAAAGGAGAGGAAATACACAAACCAGGATATCGGTCTGCTCCATCTGTGCTTCCATCTGGCTCCTTGATCTGCGCGACAAACTGGTGCAAAGGGGCGGAGAGAATGTGATTGGACTCCGAGGGGACGACAAGCTGTACGCGCATGACAGAAATGCATACAGGATTAGGTAAGACGAAGTTCGTGAAAGGAAAGAAAATTTTGAGTAAATTCTACACTGCGGCGATAGCAAGGGGAAACATACCTTTCCGACATCCGTGACGCTCACCGCTCCAGTCAGCCCACCCCAGGACCCGTATCCAGCTCCGTATCCTCCTCCGCCATCGTCGACAACAGCTACGCTACTCACACCGCAGTCGCTCATCAGGCGCATCGCATCAAGCACTGAAGATGAGCTTGTAGCAGCTATGACAGACGCATACATTTGAAGCGATGGGAGTGCAAGTAAGTGGAGGGGGCACGAGAGCAGCGTTGAAAATGTGAAAGTGGAGGTAGGGAGCTGCGGTGGAACGGCGGGGCGGGAAGCTGTTAAGGCTGATACAAGCTTAGGAGACTGAGAAGGCTGGGAAATCTGTGGTTGCACTGAAGCCTGTAGCCGAGGAGAACGTGGATGTCGCGTCGGAGAATGGGTATGCGCAGCGGTATCCGATTGCATTGCAAAATTGCCGAAGTAAGCCAGCAGAGCGCGGTCAGAGACTGCACCAAGGTAAGTAGTCCTTGTTGTTGCCGTCTCCAGAGTAGTACCACACTCTGCGGGAGCGGTGACTGGGGCGGCTTCGACAAGCACTTTATAACGCAGAAAAAAATACAACGCGCGGGAATAAGTGTTAGTAGAAGAAACAAATAAGTGGACAGAGACACTCACCCCTATGTGTTCCCTTCGCAAAAACTCCAAGCAGTGAAATAAGGTTGGCGTCATTCGGAAGGGTCTCTAGGTAATTCTTCTCCGAGAGGTCTGCGAGTGAAAGGGCGTCAATATGGGCGTGGAAACTGAAAAGGAAGAAGCGAATGATACGGAGTCACAAAATACGTGGCGTAGAATACGATAAAGTCATGAAGCGAGACATCGACATGATGAATGAAGCTGAACACCTACTGCTAACAAGATGCACGGGTACACGTCCTTCCCGTGCAGCACTCATGATCTGATCGGCGCGCGAATTAGCGCGAAGTTCTGCGGGTGGGATGGTGTGCCGCGTCGCGGCAAGCGTGAGGAAGGCGTTCACATCTGAGAACTACGTGCACATTATCGCGTCATAGCATAGTGATTGATCCGGTCAGACCGAAGGAGCATACAGGTCAGCTTGGAAGAGCACGGAACCAAAGAACAACGCACGTCAAAGAGTCCAAGATAAGGAGCACCTGTCGAATCCGGAAGCGTGCGGACAGCGAGACATGGAATGTCTTCTTGCAGAAGGAGCTAGAGAGAGAGAATCAGCGCATGTGTACTTACCAATGACAACACTGAACTCACATCGCATGCGCCCTCGACGGACATGTCTGCGTCTACTTCAACTATGCGCACATCGATCAAGTCTGCACGGATATGTTAGTATTAAGGTCTGGGATAGAATCTGGAGCAGATATGGAACGAGTTGCTATAGACCTAGACGCACCCCTAGCCAATACATGTGCCCACTGCGCGACCCACTTCTCTGCCTCTGCCGCAGGGACATCAGCGGTTACAGCAACCGTTGAACTCTGTACGCGTGTGGTCCTTGAGATGGATGCTCTCCGCTGTGCCATGGTAAAAGTATTTCGTCCGGTTCACAAAGAGAACAAGTGTCGAGATCCGCGTTGAATATTCAGGTGATAGTTTAGAACAAGATGGAGTCTAGCGCTAGGCACGATGGCAAGGTGATAAGAACTTGTTTAAGAAACCGGGACGGCTCATGTGGTGCATGACTTGGATAATAAATGCATGCCGCTCCATCAGTGAATTGAAGAGTCCTTGATATTGTAACCGTGAGAACGATAGAAGCACATAATGATGTTCCTGCCGGATATGACCATTTATACACGGAGAAATCTGTGTTATTGATACATAGGCATGTATATATGCGGGTCTGGACTGCAATGAGGAGTTCGTAAAATAATCGCGAGGTTGCAGCATCACAGCCAGCAAGAGTTTCTAGCATAATTGTGTCCCCGGTGTTAAGCATTCTCATTTGTCATCATATCTCGTTTAAATTATAAAGCTAGTTAAGACTTTTTCCTGAACAGCAGCAAGGACAATGGGCGTCAAATATATCAGGGTATCGAAGGCTCATGACCAAGGTGTGACATGGCACCATCACAGCCAGTAATGGGTGATAGGATAATTGTGACCAGGTTGTTAAGCATTTGCCTTTCACTCATCGATGCTTTGAATTACAAGGTTATTGAAGACTTTCCCGTGAAAATTTACCTTTAGCATTGCTCTCAGATATACATTAGCATTGGAGCTTGTAACTATGATATAACATGGCACCATCACAGCCGGTAAGGAATGGCGGGGGAATTGTGTCAACCTGTTATCAGCTTTTAAACCATGAGCAATTTGAGTCGTCATAAATACCCATGGATGCCCGCTCTAGCCCAGTATAAACAGTCGTGACTAATCATTGTACAGTGTTCCAAGATGACACAAATCTATCCGTGCAACGACCGTTTCAAACCCGGGGTGACAGGTCTTTCCATTTCCCTCGGATTTGCAACCAGGCCGGCTTTCAAACACTCAACATATTAAATTGCATCCGCTTCCACGTTTTGTGGCGTAACCACGAATATACATGCGTATCTGTGTGAGTACCTACAAGCCACTCCCAGCCAACCAACATTGCACCATGACGAGTGCTTCTCTGGGTTTGTCGAGCGAGATTTGTTACTTTGAGTCAGCAGTGCAATGAAGCTTGAAACTGACCATATGACCTGCACCGTCGACTCATTTTGCCTGAAAGGGCATCGGCATATGACACTACAGTAACAAGACTCGTGACACACCTGAGCGTCAGAGATATCATCAACCTCGGTGCCAGATACATTGCCGCCACTTCCTCCCACAAAAGGGTACTTGACTCTTGATGAGTTTCAGAACATGGAGTTGAAGCAAAGGATGCGAAACTCGTAGCACGCGTTTCAACACCGCCTGAACAAGTTTCGTAAATAGTCAATGGCAGCTCAAACAAGCACACTCACCGAGCTCTTGCATTGCACAAGCATCCATATGCGATGTGACCGGCTCTTGGACAACTTTTGCATAATCTTGGCAAAATTAATTGTGGAAAAAAAGTTGCGCCATGAGAACTCAGTCAGCATTTCGACTTCTTCTTCGTGCTTTTGGCCATTCGGAAGAACTTTTGTCTGTAGCACAACGTGGGCACCAGCAAGAGGGTTGTCATCCTGCGGACGTGGAGCGATCTTTGCGTGATGTATCTGGCAATACCGGAAGAAGCTGGGTAATGTCCAAGATGAGCATCAATGCTCACAGATTCCGTCTCACTCACTTGTGGTCGTGAGAATCAGCTTTCGACACGACAGATGACGACACTTCTTGCAAACCAAACATCTTCAAAATCAGCAGCAAGCAATTGGTGTCCAATAGAAGCTGGCCAATATGATGGAACTTCATCACATCTGTGAGACTTACATCAAACATGCGTTGACACACGTCAAGGGGAAGTACTCACGGGAAGCTTTGAACCATTTCAACGTCAGCAACAAAATAGCTGAGACAGCTTTGGAAGTAATTTCGCGATGCCGGGTCACATCGAGGTCGTCGAGTGTTGGTGGTGGAGCGGGGGGTTGCTCAGGAGCTGATCAACATAAAATTACGATCAACGTTTGGGAGAACGGATATAGGGGTACACACGGGATGCAACACCGAGAGGGAAAACCGATGATGTTGACGACTGAGGAACTTGTTGTTGCCCGGTCCCAGCGGATACAGTCGCCTAAAGGAGTTTCAGCAAAACCAGTACCCATCCTGATAGGACGGGTGATACAGCGCTCTAAACGCAGGTGAGCCAGTGGCGATATGACGCTGAACGGACTTGCATAGATTGCTTCCACCCTCTTTAGGCGCATGAAGTCTTCCTTTCTTTCCCTCGCCTTGCGCTCTTGGGCGGGGGAAGCGGGGTCTCCTATGGCCGCAACAGCTTCCGTGATCTTCGCATCTAGCAGTGCGACATCTAGCAATGGCTCTGCAATCTCAAGATCCTGAAATAAAATTTCTCAGCAACGGCCATCCAAATTAGCAATGGGACGACATACCTCGTTAGTGATTTGGAGTGGTTCGGCATCCCCCTCAGACCCAGTCATACAGTCAAGCCCGCTCTCGGCAGTCATGCACTCTTCTCTCGTCTTCCACATTTGCCAGAGCGAGAGACTTACGTACATATGCCGATTATATAGCTTGTCCGCCTCGTCGATGGCAAACGGTACAAAGCGATCATTGTTAGGGCCGAATCTACTCTTTCGCGAGAAGGGAAACAAAAATGGCCGATTTTGATCCGTCTGATATTACTGTTTCTTGGGCTTGGGAGAAGGAGGCGGGAATGGTGCAGGTGTTGCGGGCTGAGGACCCGGACGATATCCTGGATTAGGAACATGTGATTGGAAAGGCTGACGATTCAGCGAACTAGGGAGACCGGAGTGCTGCGAGTCTGCATCATCGTGGTGATAGTGATGGCGGACAGGAATAGGAGAATATGCCTGTGCTAATTTGGAAGGCGTGGGTTTTATCGGAGGTAAATCAACTTGCGTAGGTGGGACTGGAGGCGGCGTGAACGTCGGTAACGGCGGGTCCATGCTCACTAACGGATCGGAATTAGCTTGGCAGACGTCTTCCCATTGCAGCACGTACTTAATTCATCTGCGAAGTCATCACGTTCCTTGAATATTTCGATGAGATGGTACATCATGCCGAGATAAACCAAATTTCGGTTGTGACCTCTTCTTAGAAAGCCAGCCTTTTCTGTAGGGGTAATCTGGAAGTGGGCTGTATCCGCATCTGAGAGCGAGCTGTTATCTAAACGTCAGATAACCGACCACGTACTGAATAAATGCATACCAAAGTAGATCATGTTTCTGACTCGCGATTTTCATTGATTCGACGATTGTGCTCAATCCATTGGCGCCTCGTACGACCTTGCAGTTCTCGTAGATCCAGTGCAATTGATGCTCTGGAGACGTTGTCTCGGCAAAGGTACCTATGTGAGGCACGTATGAGTACTAGTCGTTTTGCCGCGTATGAGAACGGAACCTTGCAGGACGTAAAAGAGTCGACGAGCATTCGTAAATCGGATCTCTGCGTCCCGGTACTCGAGACTTTCGAGGAGTACCTCAATATGTGCCTTCCGCTGTGCAGGAGTAGTATCGGTGCTCGTCCAGTCAGTTGAGAAACATTGTGGGAAAGTGTGAACTTCAACTTCACAGATTCTCCGGACTTCTCCGGAGCCCAATATTAATATCACAACCTCACGAAACACTACCCTTGACGCACATCGTGTCATGCCGTGTACGCTGGATTAGTTCACACATATATCATTAATGATTCACGATCGGGACTTCGCAGCACGAAAATAAGTCTAGTTAATGTTGACGACTACGTAACGGCCGAACCAGTAGATTTACAAGTAACAAAATGCATGGATAATAGTACTGATGATATCGAGATGTGGTGGTGGGGGTGATCAATGACCATCGGCGGTGCGTAGAGAAGATGCACAGCAGAGGAACAGTACGAGATGGGCCCACAACGAGACTGATCTCGACTGATTGTCAGTGCTTGTACTGACAGGAGCCGGAGGCGTTGCGGACGTCGAGGAGACCGCATGCGGCTGATTTTGGCCAAGTTGGCTGCGCGAAATCTGTTGCTGCCGATATCTAACTTTCAACCTCTCGCGCTCTGGCCGCCTAGCGACAAATAGTGCCTGCGCAGAGATCATCAAACTCTGGCCGTCGGAAGCGCACATGAAGAAAGACTTACCTGCTTGTCACGCATTCCTCCGATATTTCGTGATCTGGCAGATCTCAAAAGAGATAACGAAAACTTTGGGAGTAACTTGAGAGTAACTGGCTCGGATATGTGTCCTTGTGTACCAGCACCACGCGTAGGATCTTATCTGCGAAAGTCGCCAGGACCCCGGAAAGTCGCCACGACACCGGAAACCACCAACCTCGACGCACGTCATTCTCCCCGTACTTATAACCCGTGAGCTTTGAAGAATGGTCCGAGATCAGACGCGCGAGATGCATTCGCTGACACATATTTCGCTGATAAGTCCATGCTTCGTTTCGAATAGCTGTTGGGCAATACGTGTTTGGGTGCTCGCGTACCCCGCTCATTCTGAACATGGTGAGTGGCTGCAGGTAGCGTTTCTAAGCGATATGCAATGACTACACTCAACTCGCCAGTGCTGTTGCTTTGCATGCGATACGGATGCCCGCTCCAATTACATTGACGTGTAACTCACGCTTCTCGTTTTTATCCAGGTCTTGCACCTCAATGATGTTTTAAATCATTGCTGGAACTCCTAAGATCGGAGTCGACGGAACCCTGACTGTGCTTTGTTGTCGTGGGGCACGCTGATCTGGCGGGGGAGGATGACTCAGCGCGTGCCCCGACCTTCTGGTGTTCAGCAGAGCAGTACCTATACGGCATTTCGTTCAGCAACACGTCGCCCTAGTTTGTTCAGAAACTCTTACAAAATGGCCCTGCAACCACTGCATGTCTTAAGATCTTGGCCATCAGGCTTTCCACAAGCGGCACAAGCCGATTGGCTCCTTTTATCCTTCGTGCTGGACGTTATCTCCTCCCAGTATCCGTGGCTCTCGTAGTCCCTATCACGCTGGACGCTCTGGCCTTTCTTGAGTTTGCCCAACCTGGGGTCGGGTCCACTGGGGTTGATGGGCATGGTGAACGCCTTCATGCCTGCCTTGACTGAGTTAGGCGAACTAAGCGCCACGGTGAGTCGCTCATTAGCCTGTTTGATGTCAAATGCGTCTACGTCAAACAGAGAAGGAGGTTTGCCGAAGCCTTTGTAATTTGGGCAAGACGATGGTTTGATGGGCACGGCGGCTGTGAGGTGACCCCAGACAGCGTGCGCTCGTCGTGGTCGGCGACGTGCGGAGGTCTGTGGGCAGCGAGGAACCCAGCGGGAAGGGAAATGAGGGTGGGACGTACTTAGTTTACATAGCTGAGCAATATATTATCGCGTTCCGAACACGGAAAACATGTGCCGTCATCCCTAAAAACAACTGAAAACGGTAGCGTGCCCCATGAGCCCACCAGAATGTGGTTTTTCATGGGGCACGCTGTCCTGCAGGGAAAAAACGGGCTCCTGTGAAGTGCCCCATGAGCTGCCAAACCCCCTGGACTCTCATGGGGCACGCCGTACTCACCCGAGATGCAGGAACGAGTTTTTTCGCGGTCGAGAAGCGCGTTCGGTGTAGGCATTGACGTGCATAAGCACACGGAGACCCACAACAGGCAGTTTTTTGCGGTCAAAAAAATCAGGCCCATGCGCGGAACGAATTCTACGTACTTTACATGGCTACCCACAATTTTTCGGCATCCAAAATGACGCGGAAATGAGTGTTTTCTTCCTCCCAAACATCTGTGTGGCTGACGGCAGGTTCGGGGGATGTCACAGCCACAATTTCCTTTTATATTTTCTGCCGTGCACCCAGAGCGATCTAAACGTTGCTTGTCTCTGCGTTTGTATCGTGAGTTACTTTCTAATGGGTGGAATGAAGGGGGAATGACGTACCCGATGTTCTTAGGCCTAAGATTAAGGTTTCTGTTGTCCAAAAACTTGGGTGTTAGACGAACACTGAGGTATGAGAACAAGAAGAAAATGATGGTCACAAACGGACCTAGTCCTGTTCACGGCCTGCAGGACCATCGGATCCCGTCTCAGGGGTCTACGCAATATATTTATGAGCTGTAGAGATGAAGACAACGAAGGCAAGACTCGCAGTGAAATGGAAGACACCATTCTCCTCGAAACTGATACGTGCAGAAATCCACGATGCTCGGCGAGTTCAGGTGCCGTTCCGTGGTCCCTTCATCGGCACAGGGACGGTCACAAGTTCTAACATGATACTGTGATAGTCTAGGCAACAGACTATCGCTGACGAAGTTACAGTGAGCAGACGGTCAACTTTTGAGAATAAATTTATACCTTCGACCTCGTGCCATCAGGCTCATCGAGGGATATAAATTGACGATACCCCTGGTTGGCCAAGACATATTCTACGATAGTGAGGATGGCTGGGTTCCTGAATGGGACGCGAAGCGACAGGAGTCGCCCGTCGCTCGTAACCCGCTAAAGTAAATCTCGAATATGAGCGGAGTAGCGCTGAGACATACATGCTTACCTGAATCATTGTGTCAAGGTGAACAACATTCTGTAGCAATACTGAGGCGTCCCGTTTGCGCAATGGCGCCGTCTCGTTAGCATCCTTAAATAGGATTGGAAGGAATAGGCGATAAGTTCCAATCACTAACCCCAAGCACAGCCCTGGGAGTTCTTGTGGACTTGTCTTCGCACCGTCTTTGATTGACAGTTTGCCATAAGGAGTGAAAGTCCCAGCCGAAGAGCTATTCAGTGCACATCATACATTAGTGGAAAATTGTTATGTGCTTCGGACTAACGCACTAGCGTGAATATCGTCAATCTCGGTTCAAAAAATATTCTGGGAGAGGTTAGCCTGAGAATAATATCGCGGAATTGATCAGCGGCTTCGATGTACTGCCCATCATCGAAAGCAGTTATTGCAAGAAGCACGCGCAGATATATCTGACGAAGCGTGCTCAAGGGTGAGAAAACTCGTTAGGTCCGACATAGCGCTCACATTGACAACACTACACAGAGTAGCATCTGTGTTTTGATAAGCGGTGGCGAGGTCCTGGACTCGCCGTATTGCCTCATCATGGCGAGTGGCATTGAAAAGTGCAACAGCCTGAAAGAAGGACATAGAAGTGTTATCATGAAAGTCCGACTATTCAAACGGTAACGAAATCACCTTGATCAATAGTAAAACATCGATAGTAATCGGATGGCGGTTAGCAAATGTGGAAGCAAGATCAAAGGCTTCCATCGCGGCCGAGAGTTGCTGGTCGCCGCAGAGGGCGATCCCCTTGGAAATATAGCCTAATAACGAGGGCCGGATAGCAATGGACTATGTCCCCAAACAAGGTCAATTGTATTCAACGGCGTTGTGATAGGCAGAGCGTCTGACCATTTTAGCGTCCTCAATCGCATTGTCCCACTCAGATTGTCATATGAGTCATGGTTGTGATCTGCGTCAATTTCTTGGCTCAGCAGGTATTCAGCGGTATGCAGGTCACCAGCAATGCATGCAGCGCGGCCCGGCGAGTTTTTAGTGAGGATCTGCATGAAGCAAGCTCATATTCCGCGTTATGTGAACGCATCAAAGACAGACGGCTCACGTCAGATGATGGGCGTTTGTCGTCACTGCCAGGGGTTTCACGAGTTTCTGAGGGATGATTGCCTCGACTGTAATTGCGCAATGGCAGTTGTGGGTTACCATGCTGAATAGTGTGAGCGAATAGAAACTTTTAAGACGGAACCATAATGAGTAAGAGCATACCTGTGTGTCACCCCGAACAAATTGCGGTCGCCGTGCATAACTCTTCATCTTCTCCTGTGCATTAGGAGAGCTCAAAGTGAACGTTGACCGTTGACCGTCCCTTTCAGCCGCGCGAGAGCGCTCTGACCTTCTGGCCACAATTTCCACGCCATAAGCTCTTTTTCCATGTCCTCCGTGAGTCACAGGATGAATACGAGGGAGGTGGACAAATACCATTGTGCGTGTGCTTGGTGATCGCTTCATCAAGCGCTGTATTGGCCAAGGTAGTGATATCGTCCGTGGCGGGATACAGAGATTTTTGAAATAATGACAGAATCATCAATCTTGTGGCGTCCTCCTTCACGCTGTCAACCAGTGAAGAGTCGATGTGCAACAGTGAGGTATTTGGAGTGGACTGCGTCGATGCTGAGGGGATTTTAGCGGTTATGAATTTTATCTGTTTGTGTGCGCGTGCAACCTTCCGCTTGATGGGTCTTTTCTCGACCAGCCTTCTGATCACATCCTTAGCACCAAATGAAAGGAGGTGGCCTTGGTCGTTCGGGCTGCAGGCGCCCAAAGCCGTCGAACTTGATTGAGTTGGAGCCGCGAGACTCGTACTCGAGTCGAAGGGAGTTAGAGTAAGGGTGGTTGGGAAGTTCTGGGATATGGCCATCGGGATTCGGAAATAATCATATGCGCTGAGTGCGGCTGCGGCAGTCCGTGGATTGAACTGCGGAATTGGGTGGTTGACGCCCGCAAGATCCTCATGCTGTGGATTGTGATATCCAGAGGCATGATTGGCCTGGCTCGTAGTCGGGTCAGAGGAGGTCGGGTGAGGGATGGTTGGGGAAAGAGCCGGCCCCCGTGGGGCGTTCTGAGCTAGGTTAAATGTACTATGGTGAAACTGGTTGGAAAGTGCCTGCGGAAACGCGCGAACTGTAGACAAGTGTGACTGCGGCCCAAAAGTTGGGTAGCTGCCACCCGTACGATATTGCCAGAGGGAAGGATCGGGCGCTACGACGCCGCCAGGTTGGTGCTGGCCACCACCTGCCATGGGGTGACTAAATCTGCTCGCTGGTGCTGTGTTCCCTTGCGGCAGCTGAGGCAGTTGTGGGTGGCTGGGTGTGCTACCATCACCGTCACTTGACGGATACCCGTGCCAATTGCCTGAGCGGCCGCTATGCTGGTGAGCCATTGCGTTGAATAAGTTCTAACTGCCTGTGGTCAGTCCTTGATAACGATAACATGAGTTGCCTACAAGTAGATGTGCTTACCTTGAATCAATTTGGAGGCAGCGGCAAACCTTTGGATGGACTCGGAAGTCAGTTACGGGGTGCCCGAATGAAAGAAGGATTGAGATTGCTGCAGCAAACTTGAACTCGCAAGTGTCGGGCGTTCAAAGTGGTATCTGGCAGCTGTTCGTGATGCGATCCATTATTGGGGTATGATCTAACGTAGTCACCTAGTTTACTAGTCACTTACTCGTTCGAAGCTGCACTTACCTCGAGGCTGGCCCCTGAACATGAAATCCAACGCAATTTTTGACGAAGTCGGATTAATTCCCGCTATGATCAAAGGCGTCTACGATTCATTGAATTGAGCCCTCTCCTAGGCTTTAGTACTCACTATTGGTTCAGATCCCGGTTCAGATGGAGGGACTCGGCGTGGTTCACCGCTGAATTCACTCGAAGCTTGAATCAGGGACCACATACTTGATTCTTTTCTAGAAAATACACGTTATGACTGAATAAAACTTCCATGGTTAGCGACATGCATCATTATTTACAAAAGCACTTACCAGAATCGACTACTGTCAGGCCGGCATCAGTGAACCGGTGAGTTCTTGCTGGGCTGGCGATTATGACGATTACGGCGACCTTCGGTTCCAAAAGGTACTGACCTCGTAAGCGCCTCCAGCACTCGCGATCGGCAAGATCTCAAGTATAAGGTTGGTTAAGAACGTTGCCGCGCCAAATACACAACCACAACCAACTACACCTTAGCTCCATCCCGCAGTCTTGTGCCGCCGTGATGATCGCTGGCGGATGGTTAGTGTCAGGCAAGATCTCGAGTGAGATAGTTACTTTGGGCTATTCTAGCTCAGTCGGGCAGAGTAGTCTGCCGCATACATCGTTGACAAATCCACGACAGTATTTATCCTCGGAGTCGACCAACAAATCAGGCTTCAATTCGCGATTGATCCGATCGGCGACAAGGATTTTGAGCTTCGAGAGCCTCATCAGTGAACTGACGGAAACCTGAGATGGACTAATATTACCTTATATAGTGGATAATCACCAGCATCCGTATAATTTTGCCATGGGCTGTTATGCTTGACTTTATAGAGGACATTCTCATGATATTTAGTAGTTGTCTGCTTCAACACTTGATCTTCACTGACCTCACTTAAATTCCCGCTCCCTGGCTTGTCATAGAAGCTAAACTGGACCCACAGGAGTCTGCCCTAGGCACTGATGTAGAAGCTTAATGTGAGCGTATGGATCTGAGGAGATAGCTGTAGACATTGTTTTTGGTGATTACGGTCACGGTTGAACCCTGTAATTTTATGAGCAAGCCAACAATTGTAGAAACGACAGAAGTATGTACTTATCAAGCCTGGATGGTTGATAAGTTCCACCCGCCTGAGCACGCATGAAACAACTCCCTGCGGCAGTGGCTGTGGGATTGAGGAGACGTCGTGGTTTTTTTCCACAAGCCTGCATTCACTGACATGTTTGTTTTTGGTGATTACGGTCACGGTTGAACCCTGTAATTTTATGAGCAAGCCAACAATTGTAGAAACAACAGAAGTATGTACTTATCAAGCCTGGATGGTTGATAAGTTCCACCCTGAGCACGCATGAAACAACTCCCTGCGGCAGTGGCTGTGGGATTGAGGAGACGTCGTGACTTTTTTTCCACAAGCCTGCATTCACTGACATGTCACATCGTAGGAGTCCATCTCGGAGTGCAAGAGCATCGCGCCTACAGCAACAGTTGATGGAATGGATGGCTTCGATATGATGACTCGGAGTGGAGCGATCGATAAGAACCAAATAGACAAACATATCACAACAGATGGACATTTGTCAGATTAATGTCGCTGTCAAGAATCCATACCAGAGACATGTTGAATTGTTGGATAGTCAAATCAGCAGGATTCATCCCAACAATCACATGCGTACTTAGTACTTAAGACTCGATCCTTGGTACAACGGAGGGAATTTATTTAGAAAGAAAGCAGATCGTCAAATTCATCTTCATCGTCCTCTCCGTCTCCCTCCGAGTTGATTTCATCTTCCAAATCGTCGTCACTAAACCCACCATCGCCCTCATCTTGTCCATCATGGTATGCTTTATTACCGATGACCTCTTCATGGTCATCATCATTGACGATATCCATGGCATCAGCTGGCGCCACTAACTCAAAGCCAAAACAGTCTCTGACTATCTTTCGCACCATTACTGGATGTCCAACACCAAGGCCAGTATAGCGCATGAACATGTCTCTATCGACAAATCTGTCGAAGGTTAATACGCCATAAAAAGGAAGATTCACACTTACATTCCCACGTAATACTCTTCCCAGTCATCTAGCTCCCCCCCCGAACGCGCCAATGATTTTCCATAGCGAAGCGAGCCTGTACCGCGTTCAGAGGCAAATGCAGGAATCAAATGAACCCCTCGAATGACTTGCCCTGGATTGAGAAATCCAAATGCATCCGGGTCAGATTCATCCACAAATGATACCTTCGGAAGACGAGCATGTTTCCAACCGGATTGATGACTTTGCAACGGTGCCAGCCACCTGACCCACAGGACCTCGAGGTACTGCTTCGTAGGTCGGCCTTCATTGTTGACCCATGTTTCCATGTGAAAGATACCCAATATACGGGCATACCAATATGGATGACGAGGTTTCGTCTCCCCCGAAAGTACCATAACATCGGCGTGAGTTCGAGGGTTGATAGTGTCGTACTCGCGCCTGAGGTCATATGTAGTGTAATATACCTGCATCGTGTGAACCGAGTAGATCGTATTATTAGGAATAATGACTGAATTGTGTTCTTCCGCTGTGAAGGTATGGTCGCAGTAGCTGATGTCGAGCTGTCGCAGCCGGTAAAGGATATGGTCCTTGAGTCTTGGTAGGAAATTCTGATAACCATTGTGAGAAATGTGTAAGGTGCGTGCGTCCCCGCTGTGATATCAAGCCTACCTTAATTGCCGGATCTCCGTCGTGTTCTTGAAGGAATGTGAATAGTTTCACTGGATTACTCTGGCTAGCGGCTATATGGTGGTGCTTTCCACAGGACGGCGCGGGAGTGCCATCGATGGGCGACTGACTATTGGGGGGGGATATGCCCCCTGCATCTGCTACCCGTCGAAGTACACGGCGCCTGCGCTCGTGTTTGGCCAACTGCGCTGGGGTGTCTAATTTGCTAGTCAGTGGATAGAACGCCTTTAGAGCTCTATGCGCAAGCTCCCCCTGACCAAACTTAACTTCAGGCGGACAATGGAAATATGGTAGGTACTGACCATTTGAGTCGTGAAAGAATCTGTGCTCCCAAAGAACCTGATGGTTCTCGCATAATCTCCCATTGAGTGAAACTTGTAGGTATTCAAATTGAACCTCTTTACCCTCACCCCGCTTGATTCTGAAGAGCCGGTACCGCTTTCGGAGCGCTGTGCGAATCTTCGTTGACGAGCCCTTCTCTCTTTCGGTAACTCCACGGTATTGAAGGAATCGCAGATGGTGCGTTGAAAGTTCCGCAACTTTCGAGAGAGCTTCTTGAACGTCTCTTCGAGAAAAGTCACAGTTGACTCTGAGTGAAGCCTGAGTTTCGCGAGCGCGTGCCACTGCGCAAATCGGTACAACAGAGACTGTATGACTGCATCATGCTCAGCAGGGAACAGCCCTTCGAAAACCGGAATAGCACACTAATGTTTGAGAGTATGTCAGTGAGCATGATGCAACAAATGAATAGTACAAGACAAACCTGCAAGATGTCTTCAAAATCACGTGCTGCCAATTTTTTCATCTCGGAGGTGTTATTCGCAAACTTTCGAATCACACCATTACCAAAAGTCGGAATCTGGCGAAACCTACGGCGAGATTGAGAGTTGACATCAGTAGTCGTAGATAAATAACACTCTGAATGGACTCCGCGTACCTGGCGTCGAGTTTACCGACCAACTGCTCACCACCGGGAAGGGCATAAAGAAGTCTAATAAGGTGGCTAAACAGCGCCTTCCACGTACCCAATTCACATTCGTGCATGAAGTCGACAACAAGCATGCGGAATGGGTCGAGGCCAAGCGGGCCAAGCTTCTCGACAAATCGATTCTACAAATAGCTGGTTGAACTAATCACAAATTGTAAGAGAACATTTGTGCTTACTATAGTAGGTACCCACGAACCCGCTCCAAGAGTGCGTTCGACCTTCGAACCATCGACAGTATTTCCTTCTTTGTAGATATACTCACGAGCTTTGATGACGGTCGCCATAACATAGACCCGGAGTTTTGTTATACGAGCTTTCATGTCCTCCCGCAGTCCAAGAAAACTAAATGAACTTTTCGGAATAAGGCAGCGAGGGCATGCACATAATCCCATGTCCTTGATGGCTGCAATTAAAACCCTTTAAATCATGAGTCATCCGACAGTTTTCATCAAGGAGGAACATTACTTCTCGGGGTAATCCGCTGAGTACGTGAAGATTCGGGGGAATACTCTCCGCAGCACTCCGTCAGCACATTTTAGAACAATACCATGGTGATATGCGCTAAGAAACTCTTCGTCAAGTAAGATGTCCCAACACGCGTGAAACAACTCCCTGCGGCAGTGGGTATGAAGTGACGCCATACCAGTCTTTGATATACGAGATAAGCGACTGAGAATATCTTTGACTTTGTCAGGAAGCTGGGCAATTGATGTCAATCAAACTAGACAAGTGTCAGGTAAGTAGTACTCACGGAAGGGAAAAATCCAACTAGGTGGCATGCGCCGGATCGAGGCAAAGATCGACTGTATTTCGATAGATTTCCAAAATACAGGTAAAGCGGCCAAGCTTTCGCGGTTCCGAAATTCGCCAGGTGAGTGGCATCGGAGAAAAACATGAGACCCGCTATGACACGTTCCAGGGAGCAACCAGGTTCCTTTGGCAGTTTCTGGATATTGTCTTGAGCTTCCAGCCATGCGTCGGAGGCGTAGAGTTCATCGTATATTCGTTCCTGGTGGTCGTCCAAGGGGTCCTTCCATAGCCGTTTGAAAGGCAAGAGATGGAAGGCGCCTGCTTGGACATCTGCAAATGCGGCACGAATTACATTCATGAGAGGCCGATAATGGAAACCGGCGATGGTGTATGACTTGGACGCTTCCTCCCTTGACTTCGTCGGGATATCGATGGTGACGGTGGTCTCAACCCAATCATCAGGGAAAGTGACCTTCCCCTCATTTTCATCCGCATCCAATTCTCGCAAACTCCTCTTCACTGAAAACCCTTCAAGATGCTTCACGTCGAAATCGTCGGCCCGTAGAACTTCTTTGACGAGGCGCTGGACCTCACCTTCCGATTTGTGGTGGCTGCCTGAATTCATCCAGGTGATAAGGCGATATAACGTCATGTTAGAAAAGGGGTAGGGCGGTGGAAGTATCGCTGGGGAATCAGTTCCCTGAACAACCGTTGGACATGACTTTGCAAGCAACGACGAAGGAATAAAGTTATTTGGCTCGAAGGAAGGACGACGAGGATATAACCGGCAAAGTCCAAACGAGTTAAACGCAGTCTGGAGGGTGTCTCTTAGCGTCAGAAGGACACGTCGGATTCTGGATTGGGCTGGAAGTGGTGGGACACCGACATTATCGCAACCATCGAGATCCTCAGTCGAATGCTCGATATCATTGTAAGACCTCGGAAAACGTCTCATAGGAGGAAGCGGGGGTTCCTCAGAAACAGTGGGGTGATGTAAGGCACCATGGTCAAATCCATCACCAAAATTAAGGCCCTCCAAGTCCATTGCCCTTTCCGAGTCTGAGTCGTCGAAGGGGTGCGGTTGCGCTACGATATTGGGGCCATCGAATGAAGTACGAGCTGTGCTAGACCTAGTACTACTAGGCCCTGCCAGGGGCCTGCGGCAGGGAGCAATTGGTCGTGCATGGACTCTTACGTGCCCGGGCCTCACTGGTAAGATTCGCTATCGACACAAGTTATCAAGGACGAGTTAAACTAGGCGAAGATATCAGCGACTGACTTGCGATGTGTTCCTTGACCGTGCCTCGGACGTGTCTAAATTTGCCAGAGTTGCATCTCTGGCCCGTTGTAGTCTCCTCTGACTTGCAATAATGCTGGACCTCTTGTAAAAACTGCAAGTTGCGCGATGCCGATTAAGTCCTCGATTGTCAGTTGCCCTCTCCCAAGTGCAACTTTGAGCTCCGCAAGATACCATTAAAATAAGCACGAGCAGGATCCAGAGCGTGTCTAAGATCCGCATAAAGATGGTTGGGTGCCACGTAGGGCTCTGACTCGGAAAAACTCGCAGGTAAAAGTTAAAACACTCGGAGGTTTTACAAATATGATTACACAAGTACATTTAACCACTGCGTGTTATCAAAATTTTCAGCCGTCTGAAACGAGGGTAGAACCTGACCCTAGGGTTAGGTCTCAGCCGTGTCAGCGCTTTCGTTGGACACCGGCGTCGACATGGCGGTTTTACCGCATTTCCTCCATGTAGAAGTCAAGGTTTTGCCCTCTCGTCAACACCAGCTGAAACCATGGTCTATCCTCGATTGGGCTACCTCGCGAGGTTTAATATTTGTATACCTCTATATATTGATATATATATATTATGATTATTACAGCGCCTCGATTGTGCACGCGCGGCCGCAATCGATATTCAGCTAGCCAGGTATTAATATTAGATAAACCAATGGTATATTATACTCGCGCCATGCGCTAGCTAGATACAGGCACAGCTATATAGATATAACAGACTCATATACTCTGAAATCCCATCATGCTTAGGGATCAGCAGGGACAAACCCGCGGTACGCAGACACCAACCTATACCCATACCCCAGCTCTGAATCGCAGCATCTGTTTCGTTGGCGACATTCTTACCAAGTCTTTTCCCTATACAGAGTGGGTGAGTCTCGGGTGACAAAGCGGTAGAAACGACTCACAGAAACACTTTGCGTCCGGGTAACGGACAATGAAATCGGCGCGACCTTTGAGAGCAGACGGGAAACAGCATCTGTCACATTCTGATTAGCTTGTGAAATGTAAGGATAGGTCAACAAGCATATCCACACATTTCACAAGCATACCTTTGACGCCCAAGTGAAGACGTACCTTCGCATATGGCCGCGGATGGAGCTATGCACAAAGGTCAGCCAAGCACAAAATAAAGATTGAAGCATGTACATTTGCAGTTAGATCACACATGGAACACACCATGAAGTGCACATACCACTTTGTAGCTGCAGTGTACTAGTCGATGTTGCCAGAATGCGGATGTCGTCGTTGCATGGAAGTCAGGAGCAAAGGTAGTTTAAAACTCCACGCGAGAGAGCCAGTGATGTGTCAATTGTGTTAGAGACAAGCAGAACGAAACTAGAACGCAAAGTGACGTCATGGTTCAAGTTGCCTTTTTCGTCGGATAAACCCTAGCTATGGGTTATATATAATGTGGTAGGTCTGCAGCTCTGTATGCATTAAGATGTGTTGAAGGGTTGAGTCGACGCCGCATATACCGAGCGGAAATCAAGGCGAGGAGGCCTGACAATATCCGCCATCGTTGCGTGGAGCGTTGATTTAGAGTATCAAGTTTACGACTTAGTACTGGCTGGCCGATACTTGGTGGAGGTTACGCGGCTGAAACCTTGGGGACCCCCCAGAATCTCCGCCAACTCTCAGCCGTCGGAATTTTTGGACAACACACAGTGAACGCAGGCTGAAAATGTACATGCCATCATGTGGGCAGAATATTCGATCCTAGGATATCCGACCCTCTGAGTCCAAGCCTATCCAGCATCCGCGCCTGGTGTGAGGAATGTACCCAATGTTGAGCATGAGGTACTGTAAGGTACGAATTGGCGGGACACCTTGTAAGTTATCCCCAAGTTTTACTGTCGGAAGTTTTTGTACGGCATTTCAATCTATTAAAATGGCCTAACGACGCATGCAAATTATAACCCATTATGATATAACAGTCAGCATTTTATTGATTGTCACACCATTTTAATGAACATTGAAATGCGCATTTTAATGGTGTCCACCTCGTCATAAGTAATATACATTTTAATGAGTAACTCCCCTGTCTCAATGGTTATTTTAATGATATCCACATTATCTCAATGCACATTTAGTAGGCATCGCAATCACATGATCAAGCTATTTAAATCAACATGATATTCAGAAAAAACTTGACTGATACATAAAATGGCTACATTCATAGTAGGAAGACTGAACGACAATAGCTAATATCATTTCGTATTGCGGGAAGAGCGGCGAATATCAGCGTCATTGACAGAAGCCTTGGTCCTCTTGCCACCCCTCGCTGCCTTCTTCTGTGCCTTGCTATTGCTAGTACCAGTATCTGAATCGGCTAGGCAATCCTTGGAAATCCCGTCGACACCTTGGATGTCAGCTGACGCAGCTGCAAGTGATGTCACAGCAGACATGACAGCAGTGGGGGGACTCTGAGATGAGATGGACGACGATGCAGAAGGGATTGCGGGATCATTGTGAATGGTCGGGGCCGTGAAACAGTTGACAGTCTGGGGTACTGGAGGTTCAGATTCAGAGGGAAGTGAGACGGTAAGAACTGCAGGAGATTTGTGGTGTGTCTCGACTTGAACATGTGGTTCAGCATACAATGAAGCACCATCTGAGTCACTGTCATCATCAAGCACGGCCATAACACGGTCCAGTGAATCGGTAACATCCTCTACTGTAGTGCCTGGAGTATCATCCGACTGTGTCTTGACGACGCCGTCAAAAACATAAGTGTTGATTTGCTGCACAATGGTTTTGATGTGATTGTGTGTCCATTTGACGGCAAAGAACTTCTTGACAGTTCGGAAGACTGCGTGATATGGGATTGATGATATGGCTCCCACACCATCTCCTGAGAATTCTTGATTAGGAGACAGGATGAAGATGATCTACCGGACATGATAAGTGCCTACTCGGAGCATATTTGAAGTACTGAAACCTTACCGAGGTGACACCAAATGTGATTAGGCCGGGAGTGCAGCTTGTGAGCTGCCAAATCTTGGCATAGGGAGGCGGGCCACCTCGTGCTTTCGGATATAACGACATTTTGCCGCAGACCGCAACCTTGATGACCTCGAAACAAAATATGAACAACCGTGGACACTTTGTGACTGGCCCCTACCTTTGCAATCACCAGCCAATTTTTAAATACTCTCTTCGCATCAATAACATTATCGGGGTAGAGTATTGGTGCCTTGAAAATGTCGAACACCTTTCCCTTGCCGGCTTCCCATCCAATCAAGTCTGTGACCTGCGGGACAGAATTGCGGTCGTATTTTGACATGAAATACTCATTCGGCATGCTGAATATGCTACCTGCCACAGAACATAGCCCGTTGATAAACGATGACCGAGCCTGCTGCATTCCGGTTCCAAACTGTGTGAGGCTTCATAAGTCAAATTTCAACAATGTAAAGGTATTACGAACCTGATTATAGAAGGCGTTTGTCCGCATCCGAGGGTGCAACACAAAGTCAATAGATGTGTACAGCTCGGTTACAAGTGCGTCCCTCTCAGTCGATTTCTTCGCATAACGATTCGGATTCGAGATATCAGTTGGAGGGTCAGGACAATCAGTTTGAAAAACGATCTTGTCGGGAAGGAACATTTCAGTAGTAATCACGTACTTCTTCGCCAAGCCGAGAATGAGCTTCTCGATGTTGCTGGACATTGAATCAGATGCAGCAGAAGGTGCAGCAGATGGACCCGTGGAAGATGGTTGGGACGCCGATGATATTGTATTGGAGGATGTCGCTGTAAGAGGGTGCTTGCGAGAGCATTTTAGCTGGTGGGTGTTGAGGACATTGTTGCTTTCATTGAGTGTTGCATTGCACTTCTCAAGCTTGCCATGCTGAAGCTGAAGGTATTTGATATACTAGGCAGAACATGTCAGAACGTGGAACAGCAAATGAGCAGAAGAAAGAGTCTACCTTTTGGTAATGCTCCTTGGAGGCATTTTCGCTTGGTGGAGCTACAGGCCGGTCATGGTTGTCCTCATCTTCCAAGTCTGAGCCTGAATGAATACCCGAGGATCTTGACGAGTCCGAACCAGATTCATCAGACATCGGTCAACAATACAACGGTAGAGTATGATGTGAAATGGACGAGACCTGAGAGTACGGCTTGCAGGACGAGGCAAAGCTATCTTAGGCCGCTGATATTTTATACATTGGCAAAGTCGGGTGCCACAAAACGCTCGCATCTGAACGTCAAAGCGGTTACATTATTAGTAAGTGAGATTCAGACAGAAGCGAGGGACTGAATAGAAACACAGTAAAGACGCACATTAATCACCGCAGCATGATGCATGTGTATTACATGTTGCTGAGTATATAGCACACATTGTGAGTCTTGGTCGGATCAAATCTCATGGACAAAAGAAAGTTACTTATGTCTGTACTGAAACATCAATGACGTAATGATGGGAGTGCAAGCAGATGAGTTGACAAGTCCCTGTCGTCGACGGATGTCACATCAATAAATCAGATGCGCAGCTATAATTCCAGGTGGCGGCTGAGAATGCGCTGGTCTTCCTCATGGGTCATACCGGCGAGCGCAGAAGTGGGTAACTGTTCAATTGAACTAATAATGTGAGTGAGAGAATGAGAATGGTTCAAATCGAAATTAAAATCAACCTCTTGACGTCAATTTGAGTTTGCTTAGACTAAATTTGGACTTAGACTAATAATATCACAAATCACTCTGCGCAATGCGCATACCTGAAGGCATACCAAGGCCACCAAGCCCTTCAGTGTGTAGAAGATGGTAGACAGGAAATGAGACAGGGTCTTACTGTTCAAGCCAATCAAGGGTGTCCAGGAGCTCAACGCCTCCCCCCCTCCCCAAGCCTGTGTCTGAGTTGGTACCATTGAAATTGAAAGCACAAGATGTTTGCATTCGCATGACTATCACCAGGTATTCCAAAACACGATCCTGCACCGGTATCTCCCCCCCCTCCCCTTCACAAAACTACTACCCAGCAATACCAGCAAGCGGTCTGCGATGAACTTGATGTACTGGCACATGAGCTTGGTGTTCATCCCAATGAGGCCAACAGGGAGAGGCGTCTGAAAAGACAGTCAGATAAGGGTATTGTGATTGAAATGACGCACCCATCAGAGACTTTTGCTCGATGGTAACAGCCTGAGTAATGATGCACTTGACAGTGTCAGGGTGCGGGTGACACTTGAGGTGGCTAAAGAGCAAGCACGAAAAGTCGGTGTGCATACCCTGACATCACAGCTGATGAGCTCGTTGGAGATGTAAAACCAGCCATGAGACCGTGTTTCTTGAGCCAGAAGATAGACGCAAAGGAACACGAGAAGAAGATGCCTTCGACGGCAGCGAATCTTGGACTTGACACAGGGAATAGTCTCCATGGCATCAGAGGTATTCGCACTGAGTGGAATTTTTGATGTAGGTGTCGATGAGGAGTGAGTAGGTTTCGGAGTGAATATTCTCCATCATGATTTGGAAGCCGTAGAAGCACCGGGAACCCAGTCAGCCTTGCGCTTGACACAGGGAATAGTCTCCATGGCGTCAGAGGTATTCGTGCTGAGTGGAATCTTTGATGTAGGTATCGATGAGGAGTGAGTAGGTCTCGAAGTGAATATTCTCTCCATCATGATTTGGAAGCTGTAGAATGCAGACACGAACTGGTGGTGTCCCGAAGATCCCCGAGCAGTGGGGAAGTGTGCTTTCAATTGCTGGAGAAGGACAAGAGCAGCGAAGGTCACAGATGAGTGCAACTTCGTGCAGTGGAGGTTATATGCGATGAAATGCGGGAGCTTGACTTGGGAGTTAGAAGAGGATTGGGGGGGGGGGGGGGGGGGGTAAAGGCTGCTCGTGACCATAGTGTGGAACTGTTCTCGGGCTTGGACGTGGTAGCATGAATGCAGACATGAACAGGCAGTGCCCCGAAGATCCCCAAGCAGTGGATAAGCGTACTTTCGGTCGCTGGAGAAGGACGAGAGCAGCGAAGGTCACAGATGAGTGCAACTTCGTGCGGTGGAGGGCATATGCGATGAAATGCGGGAGCTTGACTTGGGAGTTAGAAGAGGATGGGGGGGAGGGTACTCGGGACAAGTAAATAGGTATTCCGAAGATCCCTGAGCAGTGGGGAAGCGTGCTTTCAATTGCTGGAGGAGGATGAGAGCAGCGAAGGTAACAGATGAGTGCAACTTTGTGCGGTGGGAGGCATATGTGATGAAATGCGGGAGCTTGACTTTAGAGTTAGAAGATGATGGGGGCTATTTGGGACAAGCAAATAGATGGTGGGAGGCATATGTGATGAAATGCAGGAGCTTGACTTGAGAGTTAGAAGATGATGGGGGTTATTCGGGGAAGTGTGCTTTCAATCGCTGGAGAAGGACGAGAGCAGCAAAGGGCATATGTGGAGGACCCGTCATCGCTGCAAGCCATGAATGAGGAGATCAATGACAAGACTGTTGTACTGGAAGACAGGCAGAGAACTGAACACTGTAAAATAAATATAATTATACTTGAAGAGACTTCACGCGAAGGAACATGTCTGCATCTATAGTGTGCACAACCAAGTAATCTCCATCCGTTTCCGGATCCCTGGCGAGTGCAGCGCCTCGAATAATTGACTGAATAGAAATGATCTCAGATGATGAGCAAGGTTTCGCTCGTACGCGCCACAATCCCAAATCAACATCCCGCCTTTGATGAACACCAATACCAATGTCATAAGGATGGATAAGGGCCAGAGAAAAATCAGTATCACCAATCAAGCAGCTGAACAAGAACACGAGGCAAGCAAAGAACGGTTTGTCTGTAGTTTTCACGATGACGCAATCGAACCTCGGTGATCCATAAAATTTTGGGCTGCACCGAAGTAAGTCTTCGTGCATGCGCCAATCAACCAAGGACTCGTAATTCACCCGCAGGAATCAGAACTCTGTAATCTGCCAGAAATGTCATTGAGGTTGGTCAATTGCAACACTGAAGAAGGTACTATACCTCATCCTCGGCTCGGAGATGAAGGGCCCTTCCTGGACCATCCGGCAAGGGAATGCCATTCTGCAGTAGGAACACATTCAGGAAGCCATTGAACTTTGTCCGAAAGTTAGTAAAGGCTCTACTCTGTAATCTGCCAGAAATGTCATTGAGGTTGGTCAATTGCAACACTGAAGAAGGTACTATACCTCATCCTCGGCTCGGAGATGAAGGGCCCTTCCTGGACCATCCGGCAAGGGAATGCCATTCTGCAGTAGGAACACATTCAGGAAGCCATTGAACTTTGTCCGAAAGTTAGTAAAGGCTCTGTCGGCTCCATGTGTGCACATAATATCTTGAAATGAATGTTTCCCTTGCTTCGAACCTAAGTGCACATGGACGACGGGATCTGCGACTGGTTCAATATCCAGAGGTTCGTTTGTCTCTGGGTCGTCGGTAGCCTTTCGACTGTAGTTGTCGAGCTCGGTGCGCATCGATGTCGACGTCAGAAGCCAATGGTCATAACGCAAGATCTGTAGCTTGTTAGTAAAACATTAGACTTGTGCACTGCGCTGCGACGAACCTGAGGAGCAACATCTTTGAAGTTTGTCCGTCGAAGGTAAATTTTCCGCAACGCACCATGCATCTTCTCATTCGGCTTGGTGTTGTAGTTGCGTGTTGCGCCTTTAGCTAGAATATCATCGAATATGTGCGTGATCATATGCTTCTTCGGGAAGTTCCAGTTCTTGTTCGTTTTGGGCTGCAACTTGGTGATATATTCCTAAAAGCCCAGATCTGACGAGTTAGATGAGGCTCAACGACTAATGGCATCCAAATGACTCACCTCCATCAATTCAGAGAACATATCCAGGGTTGCTCTTCCAGCCGCAATAGTCTCCTCGGTATGAACTTCGAACGAAGCGTAGATATCAAGCTCGATATAGTAGCGGATACAGCGTAGAAGCAAGTATCCTAGCTTAGACTGCGATTGATGGAAGATGTCCTGTGCCGTGAAGAGAACAAGCTTTAATTGAAAGTTTGTGTCAGTACCAAAAGATCATGTTCGAAGTTAGCAGCGCATGACATACCTTTGATATGTCCTCATGAAGTGATCCATCATTGAAATCAACTGACATGGCAGCCTTAAAGTGTGTCAAATTCGGCCACCGTGGAAGCTCATCAAAGCTAAGGTGGTAAGTCAGCACCAAGACGAATTCACATAGTGTTTAATTACATACTTTGCATCGAGTTTGGTAGCAGCTTCCTGTCCAAGCTCAGAAATCCAGAAGAGAAAGTCCTTCCACAGATGGTCCTCCCATAATCCTTCATGGTTCATATGCAGGCGGTCAACAGAAAGTGCTCGATGAACATCCGCAAGAAATATCTTCCAAAATACATTCTATTAATTTGACGAAGTCAGAAAATTTGTCGGCAGGGCACAGCAACACTTACCTCTACATTTCGGAGGGAATAAGCCTTTAGGTCTTCCTCCTTTTCCTGTGCCGTACGCCTTCCTCTTGCGGTGCAAAGGACCTGTTGGGAATTGCGACTCGTGCGCAATGCAAAGACACGATTGACCAACTGCTCATCTTGAGGCACTAGACAGACTGGACAAGGGAATTTCCCTTTCACGCCCCGAATCAACGCCATGGCACATCTCCGGTAGGTAACTAAGGTAAGCCTGGCAGTAGAGTAGTAAACTAATGGTAGCACTTACTGTTCTTCGTAATCTCCACTCAAGATCAGTATTAAGGGCCAGATACGGCGTTGAATCTGATCCCCGCATTTGAACCAGTAGCTGGTTTTCGAATGCAGCTCGATTGACTGGAGAAGCTGGTAAAAGGAAGTGTGCCACACCGCATTTTTGAAGTCTACGAAGCTCTTCTTTTTTGTATGTTTTTGATCCTCAGCAACCTGACAATACACTCAGTAATATCGCTAGCAGCAACACACACGAGAAGATTCTAACAATTGGCAACCAACCAACTACACGACCTCCACCTAGGGCTGTATTACCATTGTGAATGTGAACGGGCAGGTTTGCGATGCGGGCGATGATTGGATAGCCTTTTGCAGACCCAAAAGAAGATAGTTTATTTTTGTCGGCATACAGAATAAACACCAGCGGCTTTGCGTCCAGCGGGAGTTGAGACTACAACAGTAATATGGGTGGTGTTACAGTCAGATAGATGACTCAAGGCTGCGATACATACTTGTGCAGTCCAGAAGGCATCGGCAGTCCATGGTTCATCGATGAAGCGAACAAACCGTTCTCTGTTGAATTTGGAAAGACGTTGAGCATCAAATACAAAGTGAGGTGCGAGACGACTGTCTCGCAGTAAATCAAGCGCCCAGTCCCAGAGAGGGCGGTAGTGCATGTCAAACTTGTGTGTTTCGTCCTGGTGTTTAACAGATACTACATCCTTTTGAAACTAGTGTACACCGTAACTACGTAATGAGCTTCGATGAATGCACAAAAATGAAATCAATTACCGGTGTATACCGCTGCGAAGCCATTTCCCACAGCGAGCGAACCTCATCGTGACTTTGCAACGTAAATGTGTCCTTGCCACCGGCGGATCGATGCACAAGATCAAGCAGCCGGTTTGTCTGCTCCTTAGTCATCGCAGCTTCGAGCGCGATCTCTGCAACTTCGAAGTCCAGTCGCGTCCTGAAGGGTTCCCATGGTGAGTTGTTACGAGGTACCTGGTCCTCTGAAGAGCAGCTGTGGGAAAAGTCGGAAAAGTGATGTACAGTGGTGGGAAGTTTGCTGTGTGGATGGTACTTGACTTTAATATCGTCAAGCTCATGAGGGAGCTCATTGCAATCATTGAGATCAGGAGCCCCATCAAAGTCGGGAAACACAGCAGCATCGGAGTTAATTGATTGACGTCTATGCGGCGACGACCCTTGCATGTCTGATGTAGATAAAAGTTAGTCAGTCTCACAAATTCAAACGATAAGGTAATAATACCAATGTCACTCTCTATTGATATGTCCTCGCATCCTGCTGCGCCGCCTTCGTCTTGTGTGGCCCAGATTGTGAGGGGGTTCACTATATAGTCATACCAGAATAGTCAGCACACGAAAACATCAGTAGGTGTGTACTCACCAGCAGATCCAGAGGCCCCCGGAAGCTCCCCCATATGTTTGTCCGCCCATCGACCTCATTTTGGCTCTCAAATCTGCTATTTTTCGGGTGTAAAATCTGCTATTCCGGACAGACATGTCACGTGTCACATGGTCTGACATATGTGACACCACAGCAAGATGTGACACGACGAAGAACACATAGTATCTCAGTGAACAAGAGTGGTATGTAACGACGGATGAATCCCAAGCACACCCATTGAATACGTATCTGTGATATAGCATTAAGTAGAATTAAGCTTTCGTGATCCTACCCCCAGAAATCTTGAGTCTAGGCAATTTTTGCTTAACCTGTGGTGCGGTCAGGGTTATCCAGTGGCGAGCATTGGCATTGGACAGTTCCAATGCCCGTGAGTTTGTTCCTTTGAGAGCCCCTTTGCCAATGTGATAGAGAATGCTGCTTGCAGGAGCATGTGTATGGGTCTCGTACTGGTAGCAGCTGGGAAGACGGGAAAATGATGGGACAGCATTGGGCGACACATCTTCGTCTTCATAGAGCATGTCGTCGGCATTAGAAGCAGCAGCCTGAAACAGCGAACGTGTTAGAACAAATATTATGGCGCAGAATTTACTCACTGCAGTCTCCAGTGGAAGGTAAACTCGAAGTGAGAGAAAGGACAATGTGGAGACACTCGTCATGGATTGAATGGAACCATAATGACTGTTGGCACCTTTCCTGTACAAGTCAAGCACTTTGCCAATGTAGAACCGTACAGCAGTGTGCATAATCACATAGGAGCCGCATTTGAGCGGAAAGAGGCTAGATATATTTTTCGTAGCAAGGTTCGGCAATTCTAAATAGTGTTGGTGTTGAACAGTCAACGAGGGGCAACATTTATAATATGACACACCTTGGGGCTGAGGGCTGCACCAAAAGCATTCATCGTCGTGCGAGGTATTTTTGTGCCTCCGGAAATCAGGCTGCGTAGATCACTGTACACTAGCTCAATGTTGTGAATCCTTCGGACTTGATATTGAGCATTGCGGGGTATTGGTACATCCATGGATAGCTCAGGAAGGCTGCGAGAAGCACGGAAATGAAAATATGGCAGGCGCTGGTCCTTGCTGGTCTGTGTTGGTCTCAATTGCTGTCTGACAGTTGACTGTCATTTTCCTATATTTTGTGATTGACAGCGCCTGACAGGTGCCGGCCGGCCGTCAAAAATCTGCTATCTAAGGACAGACCTCAGGTAAACTCAGCCTCAAATCTGCTATCTTAGGACAGACATTTGGTCAAATTTTGCTCTGAAATCTGCTATTTTGCGGACAGACATTTGGCAGAGCTTCCGGGGGCCTAGATCCAGACTGTGCGCGCTCAAGTCCTTTCTGTTGTCTACGAAGCCTTTGACGCTCTTTTCGACGCCCTGTACCATTCAAATTGTAAAAGTTAGCACATCCGAATATTTGACGGCTCACCCTTTTGCTCAGCGGTTCGAACTATCTCAGCAAGTTCTTCATCCTCACGTTGTTCCCATTCCCGCTTTTGACACTTCTTTGTGTGGGATGCCAACCCACGAGCCAGAATTGTCGTACCACAAAGATTGCACTCAGTGGTCTCTGATGATCGCTGCCGCTTCGCAGGCAACGTCTTGGGCATTGGTGTGTATGGTGGGTGATGGATTCAGATAAAGGTGAGCGCTGCACATATGCCTTACTATGTAATAGGCCTCGAGGTTATCGTAACGACATTGAAACTCAGTTTAGACATAACAATCCCAACGTAATTCAGTCACAATGGTCGTTAAAATTATTTCGAGGCACATTAAAATGCGGGAGCATTATAATGCCCGTGAAAAATCTCCGACAACTACTACTCAAATGTTTTGCAGGATATAACATTTGTTGAAGGAACACACTGCCGAAGCCGTAACTACTAAGACAAGTGCACCGCTGGTCGATGACAGCGAGACTGAACCGGAGTCCGAGACACAGCCATCACTAGAGCCTGCAACACCAGTGGACTCGGATTTCACCCGCTAGTACAACGCGGTATATACAGGATTCTTTTGTAGATCCTACCCACCGTTTTTTGACTTATTCGGCCTCGGAAAAAAACAAGATTCGACATTTGATGAAAAGGTAGCATAAGATAGACTCGTATTTGTAAAGTAGGAGGTTATAATCCAGTTTCTGAAAATGTTGTGTTGTTGCTGTACACGAGTAACGGCCGGGTGATGACTGTCTCCTATAGGAGAACGATGGAATAGAGCTGCTGAGCGTTCCCGAGCGACAGGTGAGGAACGTGTGCTAGACCGAAAGCAAGCCCCGTTGGACTTGGAAACAATGGTAGTGGGGGTAACTTCGCTGAGGCTGGCGATAAGTAGATTGAACCCCATTCACAGGACGACCTTGGAGGAAGTGCTGTGGTGCGGCGGCAGGGGAGCAGAAGGTCGGGGCAATAGCTGCGCTGAGCGCCATAGATCAGCAGTCGAAAGTCCAGCACTGAAGGAGTTATCTTCAGCTGGGGCTACCCGCGCATGGTATGACTAGCCGAAGAAATAGCAGATTCATGGGATTCCAGTGTAGACGACACGCGACAATGGGATGGTAAAATTTGATGATCAAATGTATTAATGGGGCCCTGGAGTCAAGAATGATGTCAGAAGCCGTTTCCAGCGGACTTGCATCATTGAATGGCATTACACTCGCGGCACTTAGCTTGGACTGAGGCTATGCCCCCCAGTCGGCCCTGTATGTCGTCTGTAAGGTCACCGACGACGCCGAGCTTCAGCCTGGCAATACCCTGGGCAAGATCCCAGTTGAGCGATGCATCTGGATCAACAAGCCTCTGGTATTAGCGAAAAACGTTGTTGATAAGGATATGAAGGTCCAATGCCTGGAAGGCGGTATGGTCGACCAAGGGCATCACGGATGGTGTTCAGCAGCGCCGAATCCGTCCTCGTGGCTCTGAGGATGCGTATGTGATCGCCGAGCGCACCAGCGCATCGAATTCAGAAGAACGACCACCGTTTCCTTTTTCCTTGCCATAGTTCCCAGCCAGCAACGCCAGATAACGGCCGAGTGATCACGAGGGCCCAAAAATCGCACTTTACGTTCTGCTTAGCTCAGCGCTGCGGAATGTAATCAAACCCTGCAGCAAATATACCTTTTTACGGTGCTCGTCCTAAAGCCCAGCTGCATGCGGCAATGATCGAAGGGGCTCGAGAACTTTGTTTTGCGGAGCGCTGAAAATACATATCACATCATCTCATTCTTTCGGGCGCTCCAATCCAGAACAACGTGTTGGAGCTTTGGAGTCCTTTTGACTTCTTGATGGGCCTGACTTCCTCGGGACCGAAACGTCGTTCAATGAGCGATTCAGCAAGCCAATCATGTCAAATCGTGACTCGGATGGAAAGGAGAAGACTGGTAAAGCTGGTAAGTGACACATCCTGAGAACTTGTCTGCGGCTAACCGAAGTTGCTCTTGCTCTCGAGGCTCTGCATAAGCAAGTCCTGCCCTTCCTCTTACGCCAGCTGAAAGAGGATGTCTTGAATGACCTACCCCCGAAGATCATTCAGGACTACTACCTTCTCAAGTCTCAACACACGCCGTGCCTGCCAGCGGGCCCATCCAATCTTCTAAAGCAATCACATTTGTCGTGTGCTTTAGCGAACAAGGCCCTTTCACCTCAGTGTCGACGACAAACCACAGGCACGTGCTGCGAGCGAAGCAGAAGCTCCCGGGGTCTGGAAGGTGTGCGTTAATTCGCATGTCATTCGAACAGTGGATTCCCGAGGAGAATTGGCACGAAGATGCAAAGACAAGAAGCGCCTCTAGTCCAAGGATGCCAAGATGGGCTGACTTATGTGGCCTCTGATGGCAAGGATGTAACTTAATGCCATAGTCTCAAGTAGGTTAAATCCTGACTAGGGGAGTCCAGTCGTGGGAGTTCAGGCGAGAACTTACTAATCTTCCTGTGTGCCTCGCGACACACCTTTTTGAACTCTTACTTCAAGACAACAGCTTTACCCCGCCTTGCAATTGCCAGTACTGAAGTACTGACGATTCACTTGACTTAGTAGACGGGGCACCGCTCAGCTCAGAAGGTCAATTAATGCCGCCCGAAACAGTGCTCCCAATGCCCTGACTTGGATCTCGCAAAGTGACTTGTATGTATTAGTACTTGCCAAGCTAGGAAATCCCCTCGAACCTCGGATCATACCATATGATGCCTATACTCTTCTTAAGTTCTTTGTGACGCGGCTATCATGATAGTGGCGGTTGTATGGAAATTTACCTTTTCGGTATTAAATGTATGCGTTGTGAGAATATTGATATAAGTGGTAGCAGCTGGTTTGAAACTCAGTTGCCTTCCCTCTCTTTACTGACCGTTTCTCGTTACTAGGTCTACCACGCATGAAAACCTGTCTCGCCCGTCCTCGTCTTACCAGACGGTCTACTAGTCTCGACTGTCATGACAGGAAGGGGGGTGGTCCATGTGCCACTCCTGTTCGGAAGCATGATTCAGGCGTTCTCTCTAAGACTCCGACTTGTCATGACCATGTCTTGCAAACCAAACATATCAAACCTCCAAGATCACCACCTTCATCTGACGCTTCATCTGATGACACATTTGGACCTATTACTCCTCCTCCCATACTTCGCGAGCTGTCTACTTATTCGAAGAGCGCCAAGGAAAGACACAAGCCCTATCACAGATGCGGTCCCAACATAATAGAGCGCCTCTATGGTGAGGAGTGTTTGGGGTGCAATGGTTCCAAGAAAGTGGTGGGTATTCAAGGGGCATGTCAATGTATCTTTAAATTCCTTATTAATACTATTCTAGGACAAACATAGTTTGAAGCACCTGACTCAAGACGCCCTCGCTCAAGCCATCATCGCGATCCAAGCTGATATTGAATGGAGGCGCGTACGTGCTCTCGCAGCGGCTTTGCACGTCGATGCGGTCAATCAGCGTTCCAAGTTTATTGGAATTACCGTCAAGAGCGAAACTGAAACATATGTGAATGCTGCTTCGGAGCCACTCGAAAACGCGATTGAGACGCTTTCCAACTGTACTAACGGTGAACTCGACGATCGCAGAAACAGCAGTACCATTACGTACGAGCGTGACTTGACGTCATTCGCTGCTGTTGACTCAGAGTTCGATGAAGTCGAAAGTTTTGCATGTGCGTATTTCCATCTGCAAATGATACTAATGCTGATTGATCACCACAGTAACTCTCTTGGAATCGGATGATAGTGCCAGTTCGGATGAAGGTCATGGTTTTTTTTCGGAGAATTCCGGTGCATGAGGTAATTATTTTTCCCATATGGCAACTTGTACTGATCTCGCGTCACAGGCTCTCGGGGACTCATCACCGTTGATTTTGTTCGCTTCTTGTAGTACGAAAGCTTGAAGTTGTAGTACCATATTCATATTCCTGATACATTGTAATCTTACGTTCTCGGGGGAATAACACTGCTTCAACACTTGATCTTCACTGACCTCACTTAAATTCCTGCTCCCTGGCTTGTCATAAAAGCTAAACTGGACCCACAGGAGTCTGCCCTAGCCACTGATGTAGAAGCTTAATATGAGTGTATGGATCTGAGGAGATAGCTGTAGACGTTGTTTTTGGTGATTACGGTCACGGTTAACCCTGCCTGCATTCATCGACCAAATTGAGCCGAGCGGCTGACACTCCCCTAGAGTGGACCCATACTTTACCGAGTCCGTGACAGACCCAGAGTCCGTGACAGAGGTACCCCAGATTTCCCGGACGAAGTAGCGCTGATAACGAACAAATTGACGGTCCTGGTTCTCGTGTACGTACGAGCCGCATTGGTGAGGTCTACATTCGGTAATTTCTATATTCGGTCGTCAACTATTCAAATGTTCAAACGCCGATAACTTCAAATTTCAAACTCTGAGTTTATTTCTGATGTGATACTTACAAGGCCACGAGGTTCAATTTAGGGAAGGCTATGCTCCATCGATGGAGGTGCTTTAAGCTTACGAGGTCAGTACCTTTTTTTGGAACCGAAGATCGCCGTAATCATCATAATCGCCAGCCCAGCAAGAACTCACCGGTTCACTGATCTGGCAGCAAGAACTCGCCGGTTCACTGACGCAGCAAGAACTCACCAGTTCACTGATGCGGCCTGACAGTAGTCGATTCTGGTAAGTCCTTTTTTAAATAATGATGCATGTCGCTAACCATGGAAGTTTTATTCAGTCATAATGTGTATTTTCTAGAAAGAAATCAAGTACGTGGTCCCTGATTCAAGCTTCGAGTGAATTCAGCGGTGAACCACGCCGAGTCCCTCCATCTGAACCGGGATCTGAACCAATAGTGAGTACTAAAGCCTAGGAGAGGGCTCAATTCAATGAATCGTAGACGCCTTTGATCATAGCGGGAATTAATCCGACTTCGTCAAAAATTGCGTTGGATTTAATGTTCAGGGGCCAGCCTCGAGGTAAGTGCAGCTTCGAACGAGTAAGTGACTAGTAAACTAGGTGACTACGTTAGATCATACCCCAATAATGGATCGCATCACGAACAGCTGCCAGATACCACTTTGAACGCCCGACACTTACGAGTTCAAGTTTGCTGCAGCAATCTCAATCCTTCTTTCATTCGGGCACCCCGTAACTGACTTCCGAGTCCATCCAAAGGTTTGCCGCTGCCTCCAAATTGATTCAAGGTAAGCACATCTACTTGTAGGCAACTCATGTTATCGTTGTCAAGGACTGACCGCAGGCAGTTAGAACTTATTCAACGCAATGGCTCACCGTGACCAGCATAGCGGCCGCTCAGGCAATTGGCACGGGTATCCGTCAAGTGACGGTGATGGTAGCACACCCAGCCACCCACAACTGCCTCAGCTGCCGCAAGGGAACACAGCACCAGCGAGCAGATTCAGTCACCCCATGGCAGGTGGTGGCCAGCACCAAACTGGCGGCGTCGTAGCGCCCGATCCTTCCCTCTGGCAATATCGTACCGGTGGCAGCTACCCAACTTTTGGGCCGCAGTCACACATGTCCCAAACCATCCCTCACCCGACCTCCTCTGACCCGACTGGCAGCTACCCATACGGGTGGCAGCTACCCAATACGGGTGGCAGCTACCCAACTTTTGGGCCGCAGTCACACTTGTCCCAAACCATCCCTCACCCGACCTCCTCTGACCCGACTGGCAGCTACCCAACTTTTGGGCCGCAGTCACACATGTCCCAAACCATCCCTCACCCGACCTCCTCTGACCCGACTGGCAGCTACCCATACGGGTGGCAGCTACCCAATACGGGTGGCAGCTACCCAACTTTTGGGCCGCAGTCACACATGTCCCAAACCATCCCTCACCCGACCTCCTCTGACCCGACTACGAGCCAGGCCAATCATGCCTCTGGATATCACACTCCACAGCATGAGGATCTTGCGGGCACAAACCACCCAATTCCGCAGTTCAATCCACGGACTACCGCAGCCGCACTCAGCGCATATGATTATTTCCGAGTCCCGATGGCCATATCCCCGAACTTCCCAACCACCCTTACTCTAACTCCCTTCGACTCGAGTACGAGTCTCGCGGCTCCAACTCAATCAAGTTCGACGGCTTTAGGCGCCTGCAGCCCGAACGATCAAGGCCACCTCCTTTCATCTGGTGCTAATGATGCGGTCGGCAGGGTAGTCAAGAAAAGACCCATCCCGCGGAAACTTGCACACAAACAGATGAAATTCATTCCCGCTAAAATCCCCTCAGCATCGACGCAGTCCACTCCAACCTTACTGTTGCACATCGACTCTGCAGTGGTTGCCAAAGTGAAGGATGAGGCCACAAGATTGATGATTCTGTCATTATTTCAAAAATCTCTGTATCCCGCCACGGACAACGATATCACTACCTTGGCCAATACAGCGCTTGATGAAGCGATCACTAAGCACCCGCTCAATGGTATTTGTCCACCTCCCTCGTATTCATCCTGTGACTCACGGAGGACACAGAAAAAGAGCTCGTGGCGTGGAAATTGTGGCCAGAAGGTCAGAGCGCTCTCGCGCGGCTGAAAGGGACGGTCAAACAAGTCCACAAGAACTGCCAGGGCTGTGCTTGGGGGATAGTGATTGGAGCTTATCGCCTATACCTTCCAATCCTATTTAATCAAGCTCACGAGGTGGCGCCGTTGCGCACACGGGGCGCTTCAGGAGTGCTAAAGGATGTTAATCACCTTGACGCACTGATTAAGGTAAGCATGTATGTCTCAGCGCTACTCCGCTCATATTCGATATTTACTTTAGCGGGATACGAGCGACGGGCAAGGCGCGGTGGTTCGCGTCCCATTCGGGAACTCAACCGTCCTCACCGTCGTAGAATATGTTTTGGTCAACCAGGGGTATCGTAAGTATCTATCCTTCGATATCAACGACTGGGGGTTCCGCCTTGAGAACACCATCGCCTTGTCCGCAGCTATTTGTGACTGGATACTACGGGTAATTGAAGATTCGAACGGCTCAGGCTGGCCCACAGATACCGATTTTCACACTCCGAAAAGCGAGGAATGTTATATGAGAATGCGACGTCGGATTGCATCATTGGCCGGCAGTGATTTGGTGGAGTTTCGCAACCTGATGCTCCTCATTCGTAATTACATTGTTTTTACTTTCGGCAGCTAAAGTAACTACTATTGCACATACTAATTTATTTTGTACTTGTCCAGTACAATGTAGCGTATAAATTCTCAGGCTTTCAATTTGTATTACAGCCCTCCGCATTTCTGACTAACGGCTCCGTCAGCGCGTGTCCCACACTCACTGCATCACAGAACTCCATGGACAAATTGGTGTGGCACGCCATGCATGCAGGACTGTCGGCTTCTGTTGAGCTGGCCGTCAGACAGTAGCCAAGACTACCCTGGTATGCCGGGAGCAAAAGACTTCACTAGGCGAGCGGCGGGCATTCAGACGTCCACTCGGGATAACAGTGCGAAGACGAGTTGCACGAGACGTTGGAGAATCCAAGATACAACTTGAATGCCTGGAATAGGCGAAGTGGAAAGCGTGTTCATCCCTCATGGTAAGCGCTTCCTTGATGAAAGTCCATGTGCTTCTATTAAGCAAGCGGATATAGGTTCAATAACGTTTGCATGCCACACCATCCAACAGCCTGCTTCGCGGAGCTTGTCTGTCTCTTATTCTCATTCTCAGCCGTTCACGAGGTCGACAGACGCCTACATGCCTGCACACAGCCAACATCACCCCTATGACCTGTCGGCAAGCCCGTACACACTCCCGCCAGTGTCTACCTCAATGCCACAATCTTACGGACATTACACGCAGTCTTTGACGTCTCAATTTTCCCACTCGCCCTGGGGGAGTTATCCGGAGCCTTCTTCCTCGCTTTCGCAGTTTAACAGGTGGCCCGCTCAAAGCCCTGCCCATTCGATGGCAGGGATGCCATCGTCTTCATGTACCCTGCGGGAGTCGCCTTACTCGAGACCATCGCCGTCTCCAATTTATGGCGAGAGCAGAGCGTCTTTAAGCACCTATCAAGCTACACCTAGTCCTGAGGACTACAGTACCAAGGCCGCCTTCGAGGCCTTCGAGGCCAGTGTCCCCCCTGCGCCCTGTGGCACCGACATTGTGCCTCCTCCCAGGCACCGAGTAAGCCCCGGAACACATAAGGACACCCTTCCGCGTAGCACCAATAATCGCCCTCTTGGTGTTCTCAAATGCAGCAGTTGCAAGGCAACCTCCAGTCCTGAATGGAGGAAGGGCCCCAGTGGCAGGAAGGAACTCTGTAACGCGTGGGTGATGCCACAACATGCGATGATTACTTACTAATATTTACTTTTTTTCTGTTTCATTGACCAGATGTGACAGCTACGCTCGGACCAGCCGAACACGGGAAACGAAGACTGGGTAAGTTGCATGTAAATTAGTAATTTGATTTCAGCATGTCGGACTTGTCCCGCATGCCATTTTCAGACTTCAATGATAACGTCAACGAGCTTTCTTCACCCTGACATGTACATTTCCAGCGTACGAATTTGGATACTAACTTTATTTGAAGCCTTCCTTTATAGGCGTATGTATCAGGCAGTTGCCTTTGCCAGCACTAGACGGCCATCATATAAGGCGGGTGCACAATTGTCCAACATGGCGAGTCCTGTCCCTCATCTCCTACCCTCTTCCATAGGCTCAATTTAGCTTGTCACCTTCTCGCTGTGGAGCTTCATGTCTCAGGTAGAGGACGACTTCGAGCTTCCAGAATCGTCACAGTCACTAGCGGTGGCGACGTCCGAGAGTGCTCGTCAGAAGCGGAAAATTGCTGCTTTAGAAGAAAAGCTACAGGTACTGGAGTCGGGGCATGCGGCCAAACAAAGGTATGAACACCATTTACACCTAGTTCTGTCCATTCATTGCCATTCTCAGAGAGACGAACTACTACATGTCGCAAGGAAGAGCTCTCAGACGTATCGTTACATTATTCGATAACATCGAAGACCTAATACGCGAGAATGATAGGAGGTGCGATTTGGACGGCGAGGATGAAAATATGACTGTCGAGTAAGTCTTTTTTTCACCTATGCTTCACGATTGCTGATCACTGGTTCGTCATCATAGTCAGGATCGTTTGCAAACTGGGTACATCGCCCTTAACCACGCCCTCCCGTGGTTTCACTCGAAAGCTTCAGAATTGGACATGGAGAATGTTGAATTCTCGTATATGCTAAAAAAGGTGCGCTTTACTGTTACAAACCATTTGCCTTTTACTGAGCCGTTATTTAGCTTAGGCAGGGGGCCGATAGTGCTCGAGGGGATGACACCTCGAAGCTCAAAAGCCTTGTCGCCGATTGGATCAATCGCGAATTGAAGCCTGATCCTCTGGTCGACCCTGATGATAAACACTGTCGTGGATTTGTCAACGACGCATGCGGCAGACTACTCTGCCCGACTGAGCTAGACTGGAATAGCCCAATGTAACTATCTCACTCGAGATCTTGCCTGATACTAACCATCCGCCAGCGTCAGAGCAGGAATCAGGGATCGCACAGACGACTATGTCGTGACGGAAATGTCCTGGCCAGCATTCCTGTATGAAAAATACACAGCGAATCAGGACAATCTGGAGGAGGGCCTCTTCAAAAGCACTCTTTTGCTTCAGGTTAGTCACTCCCGAGTCGGTCGACAAAGATCTCACTTTTAGCAGGCCTTCAAAGCTATATTCACGTCACCCTCCTCCGCCAGGGATGTTGCTGGTGATGGCGACGCTGCTAATATAATCGAAACCAACCGACGCGCTAAGAAGGATGTCCATTCTAGCATGAAAGTCAAGACACACGTGGCGCAAATCATCAAGATGCACGCAGTCACGCCCCGCTCGATCGCATATGCATCATGTCAGGTAACTAGTCATAATTTATAATTTCTTGCGGACTGACAATATGCAACAAGTTGCGGTTTGCACTGTCTTCTGTGACCTCATGGCGCCCGATTGACGGCGACTTCGACTACAAACTATTTTGGCAAAACATTGTAGACTTCTTCGAAATTCCCCCTGGTCGACTAGCGCAGCAAAAGGTCAAGCGGCTCCTGGCATGGTGGACGAGGTGCATTCTTTACACACTCAACAGTCTTTAGCTGATCTCCGCCTTTTAGGAAAGTCTTCGGAACAAGTCGACGTGCGGAACTCAGCGATGGCGCAAAGGCGAGGATGTCCGTTAACGCTCTCGCAACACAAAGAGCACAACTGGATGATGCCCTTTTCGATTCAGAGTAGTTCATTTTTAGTTCAAGTGCGGCTCCTATATTCTAGTGACAGTAGTAGCAGCGTACCGTTTTTAATGTGAATATCTCAAATGCTCGTTTGGTGTGAAGCTTCTGTAGGAAACATATTGTGAATAATTCAAGTAAAGCTACAGGTATCAGATCCCTGCGCTCGAACCCCTACAAGCTGAATCGGGGAAATGCTTCATGACAGCCGTGATATCTGTATCACCTACTCATCATTCCCATCGTAGACCGAAAGTATATATGCGCGAGGTCACAAAAAGCAGTGTGACAGTGGTGATATGTACATTTCCAAAGTTATCATTCGGATCAGATACAGAAATTATTGACGTTCAAGGTGACAAAATCCCACTCATCATTCTCACTTGCAGACGACATGTACAGACCTGCTAAAAGACAAAATGCAGTGCAACAGCGCTAATTAAATGTATTTCCTAGTCGTCAATCCCCTCGCGAGGCAGACAATATATACTTGCGAAATGACAGAATTTTCTACTTGTCATTCCTATCCAGATGGGCAGTATAGATGCGTGACAGGACAAAAAATAGTGCGACAGCAAGTGATGTATGTAATTCTTACTCTTCGTTCCGCTCACAGGAAAGCAAGCTTAGGCCTGCGAGGAGACAACAAGAGTGGAACATGCCGAAATTACAGCCATACTCATGGCATATGGGGTACTCGGCTTATAATGTTCATCTGCTTGCTTTCAAAATTCATTTGTTATGTATTGGGAGGTTGGCATGAACGCCAAGCATTACCGAGTGATAGCATCGTTATTCCATTCACCAATGGAATAACTGAGGTTCCCAAATGCACACATAAACTATCACTTAAGCAGGGCGCAAGGACATGCGATTTCACCAATAATATGAGTGAGAACAATCAAGTATGGCCGTGCGAGGTCACGACAATGGTGAAACATACCAACATTGTGCACAAGCCGTGAGCCAAGGTACTAAACCATAAACATACAGCACCCATGCCAACATACAGCACCCATGCCAAGCGTGAACAGGCTCCGGCTGGTGCGCAAAGGTATGTCTTCTTCGCACGGATTCCCAATTGCAATATTGCAGATGTTTCTTTCACTTTCTGAAGAAGATGGCGTCAAGATTTGAAGTAGGAGTCGTCAGTCGATCATTGCTCGCTTGAACATATCATCCGTCTCTGTGAAGATGCTGACCTTCACACTTAGCTTCGACGATATGGAACATACTTCCGACACGGTGGTAGTAAGTCATCCAGCTCAACTATCAGCGTTTGCTCCACCTTCCCTTGAATTTTGAGTTTGAGCGATGTGAGGGCCTCTTGGAACAGGCTGCATACGACTCTTAGCTTCGAAGTCGCGAACGTGACTTCTTGAAGTTGCGTTTATGATTCATCTGGCTCCACCTTTAGCTTTGCCCGACATCGATTGGGTCTCGCTCACTTGGTGGACAGTTGTCGTTCGCTGGAAGATTGTGTCTTTTCCTCTTGGCCCCGAAATCGCGAACCTTAACTTCGACGTGGCGGTTGTTGATGCCTCTAGATCGTTCATTAACTGTTGCTCCACGTTGTCGCTAAGTTTGAGGTGGAGTAATGTGAGTGTTTTTCCCTGATCACAAAACTGTGTAAGAAAATCAGCAACTCTACTGTCCTAGGTAAGGTCAAATATGACCATGTGACGATCGATGGCAGAATTTTGCTGATGCTTGTGATTGTCTACTATATATTGCTATCTATCTCATTCTAATCTGTCCACCAGTTCTCTGATGTCCCTCTTCGTATTACGTATCACAGCCGCCAGCATACCGCGCGCTCCGCTTTTCCCTTTCCAATACACCACACCTTCAATTCTGCCCCACTTGAAACTTTCACACCACCGCATACTTGGTGCCTATCTGCTAGGTCAGTTAATATCCAAACTAATCTCAGTTGATACGCCAGGTCAATCAATGAACTCGACGGCCGAAACATCATTTCCAAAACGTTGGAGAGCAAATTAGCGGCGAATACGTCACAAATCGACGGTCTCATCATGTCCGAACACTAAGCTGGCCTCAGGATCGAGGGTTCCAAACACCCTTTTGTAAAGGCTATGCATTGAACGTTCCTTTACAGGTCCAAGGAACGCCAATCGAGTCATTTATTCTGGTGCTAGTGACGTCAGTGGATGTCCACAAGAGTTTGGATGGGAGGTCTAGACACGAAAACCTAAGTAGGTGAGTCTTCGCATCAGTCACTGACTAAGTCGTAAGTTCTGATTTGCCTATAGCGCAAGAACCCATGCCTTAACAGGTACCAGGGTTGGACGTCGATGGGTTTCTGCGCAAATATAAAAGTGCTCCAGTTGGCTTAGTGCTGATCGAATTTGCCGAAGCCGTCGAGCGAGATCACCCCTTCCACAGGCGCTCGTTGCTGACTCGCTTTGCGACGACTAAGTGTGGATGCGGCGGGTACGAGAAACTACTAATGTGCATACTATAATATTTAGTGATGTGCTTTCCGAAGGTCGACACGTTGTAAGTAACGTTCTTTACTGATCTCAAAATCGTTCTAGGAGGTGTTACGGATCTGTGCAAATATCGCAGGACACAAGACGACCATTGTCAGCATTGCGAATAGGTGCACGCACATGGATCGTAACAGTCATTCAGCGATGTCTGTTGTAGCAAACAACTTCATGTTGAACTGTATGAATGTGACGACATCTTATGGACCAAAGAGCATTGCATTGTGCTCGTAAGCAGCGAAACCAGCTGTTTTAAGTAGCTTGGGGAAACTCAATAACAAGTGTACAGAATATTGGATGTCGCGGTGACTGATAAAAATTACGTCGGAAACTACTCTAGACTCTCTGCAAGGACTCCGAGTCACAGTTTTGCTCGTGGTAGAGGAATCACATCCATGATGGCATCCGGGCACTCGTTTTGAATCCAGTGACCAATGCCGGTAAGAACTTTGGCATCCAATCTCTCTACGTCACAAGGGATATGTTCCAAATAACAATTATCGCTGAGCTTCGGATCGGATACCAGTACGGTGATCCTGACGTTAGTGGGGATGCTCTTGAGCAGCCCACTGAAAGACCATGGGGTGTTTTGCTGTTACAAGGGCAGAGCCTGTCAGCAAGCTGCATTTCGCCATTTCGACACCTGAAATATTACCCGAAACATCTCGACAACAGCGCGATCACACATGGAGACTCCAAGCGCTCTTAATATGCAGTCACGTCGTGACCAAGCGGGATTGTCAACCATGTGCTCTTCGGCAGTTCTAATCTTGGCCGTCTCGTTTATAACCAATGTTGTCTTAAATTTGACATTCTCCTTCGTAAGCTCGAGAATGGGGTCGAGGAGTATGATGGTAGTTTCTTTTGTTTTGGGCAAAAATGGCAAGAGCGATAGGGTCACAGCGCCTCCAAGAGAATGTCCTATAATCACGTCGTAGGACGTGTTCATGGAGAAATACGGTCGGAGATCCTCTGCAAAGGCGGACACGCGATAGTCCGCGCACTGCCTCCATGCATGCCCAAGGAGGTTTGGAGCAATGACGAAAAATCCTGATTAATTCGTCAAAAATGATCATCGCCATAATATAACAAAACCCTGACCTTCTGCTGCCAATAGTTGGGCGACGCCCTCCCATGAATGCGAGGACATGGTCATGCCATGAATGAGAAGAGCCCGCCTAGAAGCGGTAGGTGAACCCCACTGGGACGCTGAAGTGGACATGCAGGCACTCAGATGTGGCTTTGATTTGCTTATCCAGCTTTTTCCTTATCCAGCTTGTTCTTGTCTCGCACAGTTTTGCAGGCCTCCCCCATATCGTTTGACGTACTGGCCATCCTCACGATATGCTGTAAAGTGATACAACGAACTGTGTTTCTGTCCCACTCAGTTCTCTCAGGATGTTTCGCCCACTTGTGCTATATTGTTCGTTCGGACAACCCTTAACTCAAGGCTCGATGCTCGGTATAGAATGGAATACAAAGTATGATCTAGTGTACGTTCCATATCACATTATAAATCTCCGTCATGGGTCAATTACTGGAATACCATGATCGTTATCAAGGTCTAAAAGCAGTGGTTTTAGTAAGTGCGAGCAAAGGAAAAGGCTTGAGAGACTCACAAATCGTGGCACTTTTGCCAATGTCGACCATGCGACATGCAGCTCAAATCAAGCTCTGGACCTCTAGGTATCACTAACACAGTCCGAGGAAAATAAAATCGGGCGCGAGAAGCAGGTGGTACCCAGAATAAGAGCTGTTGTTTAGGGCCTTTTACCCACCCACTGTCATGATCCAGCATAAAGAAGGTCGACTGTCGGCCATCATGGAAGGCTCCCGCCATTAACTCAGTAGGGTTGCACAGCGCATGGGTAGAATTAGACGAGAAGCAGATGACGCGATTGTTGCGTGGCTTGGCAGTGGCGGTCTCCATGGGATGCACGATGCAATGTTCATCTGAGGATACTGAATGATCTAATTCTGAGTCGGCGCACTGTTCCACGGGCTGTCTCGTCGCCGCATCCCATAGCCGGGCAGTGTGATCTTGTGAACCAGTCGCGATGCGAGTGCCATCCGGCGAGAACGAGACCGAGGTAACTCCGTTAGTGTGCCCCTTCAAGGGATCACCGACTGGCTGCCCTGTGGCTGTATCCCACAGCCGGACAGTGAGATCCCAAGAACCAGTCGCGATGCGAGTGCCATCTGGCGAGAACGAGACTGAGGTAACTCCAGAAGTGTGCCCCTCCAAGGGATCACCGACTGGCCGCCCTGTGGCTGTATCCCACAGCCAGACAGTGTGATCCCAAGAGCCAGTCGCGATGCGAGTGCCATCCGGCAAGAACGAGACTGAGGCAACTGCGCCAGTGTGCCCCTCCAAGGGATCACCGACTGGCTGCCCTGTGGCTGTATCCCACAGCCGGGCAGTGCGATCGTATGAGCCAGTCATGATGCGAGTGCCATCCGGCGAGAACGAGACTGAGCTGACTGCGCCAGTGTGCCCCTTCAAGGGATCACCGACTGGCTGCCCTGTGGCTGTATCCCACAGCCGGGCAGTGTGATCCCAAGAGCCAGTCGCGATGCGAGTGCCATCCGGCGAGAACGAGACTGAGCTAACTCCAGAAGTGTGCCCCTCCAAGGGATCACCGACTGGCTGCCCTGTGGCTGTATCCCACAGCCGGGCAGTGTTATCCCAAGAACCAGTCGCGATGCGAGTGCCATCCGGCGAGAACGAGACCGAGATAACTTCCCTAGTGTGCCCCCTGAGCACGGTCTGAGCAGCCGGCCAGTTCATATCGCGTCCGGATGCAACATGAAGAGTGTTCAGAAACCGCGCAGAGTATTGTCTCGATAGTGGAGAATTGATAGGTGTAAATGGGAGTGCTGATACATACAGATGTGGTGTGCTGTGTAAAATCATGCCGCCGAAGACTTGAATGAACCTCCGGACGTCCATGGCGGTCAGCGAGAGATCTTTGAATTCGGAATGGCCCTGCGGTTGCATGTGAGCACTTTGTCTGACATCCAGTAAACATATGCTCACCTTCGGCCACTGGGCAATGAGCGGTAGGGCAGTAACTGCACCACTAAGTGCGTTAATAAGGGCAAGTACCTCGAGCCAGAAAAACAACCGCTCGTGGTCGAACAATGATTTCACTTCTTTTGCCAGCTCCTTGTCGAAAACCGTGTCTCGTACGTGCGCAGTCCAAAATCGACAGGAATAGGACAGATGTGGGAGAATGCGTGTTTCAATTCGTTCTCGCAGCCCGGGGTCTTTACAATTAGGGAGATACGAAGACTGCAAATCACAGATATTGAACCGAAGACCATCTTTACCATCTTCCATCACTCGAAGTGACGCGAATGCAAGGTCGTGTTGCATGCTCGGCACGTCGACGAAAAACTCTCCGCTGCTTGGTTGGTCCGTCAGGAAATCGCGGAAGGATGCGTGAAGGGGCCGGATTGGGGAATTTGGGTCGGTGGTCCCGCTGAGGAGGGAACCCATGCATTTTACCATTAACCCCACGCCATAGCGGTCCTCTTCGCTTGGAAAATGGCCCCTCATGGCGTTCAGGGAAGCTAAAGGAAGTGGTTCAAATGTGCCCAGTATTTGTCCCATCACTGAGCGAAATCTCGCTAGCTCCTCCAGAGGCATTTCCTGTGAACGCTGGCCATTGGTAGATGTGTCCATGTGCATGATATCTCTTAAAATGAGGCGATACATGTTGCGCAACAGCATTTGTCTCTTCGCAGGATCGCGTAACACCACTTTGTTGTAGTACTCCATCGGAGATAATCCAGTATGGGAGTCTCTGATGTATCCGCAGGCAAGACGCGCCCACTCGAAAAGTCCGCCCGCCATCTCAGCAAGGACTGTAAATTGTTTGTCTTGGAAGTCATTCAACCCTTTCAACTCCTCGGATACGTAAGCACGGATGTCGCGCTCGGCGACTTCTGGTAGAATCTCGTCCATGGACATCGGTCTAATGTGCTGAGCGTCTGCAAGCTCATCTTCGATGTCAGAGAGCGGGCGAGATGTAACAATAATCCGGATATTTTTTGGGAGTTTGGTGATTGCAGGGACAGCCAATTTACCGGCCAGAATGCGGAGAAGGCTGCGCTGTGTCTCAACTCCGCCGCTCTCGTCCAATGCATCGATGATAACGACGATGGGCCCTGTGGTTGATGCTGAAAGCTTCCCTAGCGGTTCCGCCAGAAGCTTCTGCCACTGCTGCACAATATCTACTGAGTTCTTGAGCGCATTGTCGCTTTGAACTGCCTCCGCCAATGCTCTCCTCATCTCCGGATGACGGTCAGCCAGGTCGCGCGCGATGGTCAGCCAGGTCGCGCGCGATGGTGGCAAAAACCTTCTCATGGCGACGTTCGGCTTTTCGATCATCGTCGAAACAATAAAATGAACCAAGACCTCCCACGTCGTGGAACCATTTAGCAATGGTGTGGGCGATGGCTGATTTCCCATTGCCCGCAGGACCAGATAGCCACAGCACACGTTCAACATCATCTCCGGTGCTCTTGACCCAGTCCTTGATCTGGGAGAGGATTTCCGCGCGCGTTCCTGGTAGGCACTGTTTCGCGGTATCTAGTCCCGCGCCTGCTGCATAAGTCATACCGCTGAGGTCCAGTTTTTCGTCTGAAAAGGTGTGAATCAATGTCAAGTTACAGAACACGTTCAAATACTTACCCGTACGGGAAAGGAAGATGGCCAAGTCCCGGGCAACTTGGTCCCGGAAGGTTTGCATGAGTGCTTCCAACTCGTTGCTGTACTGTTGGATCGTATTATTCGTTTTCGAGACGATGTTCATTCTGAGTCTCTTCCCTGTGATGATGGTAGAAGCCTGAGAAGGTGAAAAACGCAACAGCTTGTAAGACTCACGAAAGTTCTTGGGCTTCGAATAATCTTCGATAAAATGGGCGCATTTAAGAGTCAGATCAGAGATCTGTTTAAGGATAGCTCCCATTGATGAAATATGGCGAAGGGTTTCGCCTTCCATCATGAAACTATAAACTTTACTCAATTTCTGGAGAAGCTGAATTACCGCTGTATCGCGATCTACTTGAGCAAGAATGATCTGCACGAGATGGTGGGTGAGCAATAGATCAGGATGGGGGTGAAACCGGACATACTTTTGAGGCAGAAGACAATATGCCCAGTGCTATCTTGGCATATGGATGTATCTATGAATCAGGGTTAGGTCAGTTCCAATAGAGAAGAAGGGTCCATACATCCGCGATTTCCCCGATAACAGCGTTGAATATCCTGAGGGGTTGGAGATATGTGTCCTGGATATTGTCTGCGGTATCGAGACCCGCTAGTCCATCTTGAGCGGCAGACGCTGCAGATTGCGCGGGTCCCGAAAGTGGCTCCATGCTTTCTACAGCTGCACCGGCAGCCTTCAGGGCCAATTGGGGGTTAATACGTCGTTCTACATTAGATGATACATCCTGAAGATGTGCGACCATGGATTTAGAGAGAGCAGAAGTGAAGAAGTTTAAGTACTTACCTCAATACACGGACTCGATGAAGAACCTTCATGGCTAGTGATCAGGAGAACAGGGTCTGGGGTGCGGGAATCCTTCGAACGCTTTTGTACAACTTGTCTCAGCCGTGTTCCAGGACACTCGATAATTATCATCGTTTACTCACAGAAAACGTGTTAGCCAGTTCGTTCTTAACCTTCCCCGCAAACCGACGGATTTTGTCACGACGTCGACCCTAAACGAAGGATGCATCAGAGTCAGTGTTTCAAGTTTCAAATGATCCTCATTAGCCACGTACCCGTACTGAGCTTTCACTAGCTATTGGTTCGCCAGCGCGGGTTTCTGTAATTGAATCCCTCGGTGGATTGCCTTTGCTCATAGTTGATGACGATCAGAATCAGTTTGTAGCGAAGTAGGAGAAGGAGTTGGAGAAGGGTCCCACGATAAGACAACAAACCATAAAAGTATCGCAAGCGCCTTGATAGTTAAAAAATAACGGTGAACGAATACTTGTCTACTTACAAGTATGCATGCTTGCCATTGCCGTTTGACGCCGAATCCATATATGCTACACCCAACTAGCAAACGTTGTTTGGGGCATCGTGTATTGTGCATCAAGGTGCATTGCAGTGACGACGAGGCTGTGTACACCATATAGACTCGGAGCGCATCAGCAAAACTCCTCAAATGTCACAACATGTGACACTACCTTATTAGTAATCGTCAAAGCGTCCGAGTAATACGACGCATATATGCATACGTCATACGCAAACTACACATTATAAAATCGTCGTCACCCTCCCATGGCCCTTATCGTAGCTGTAACATAGTGGGTTAGCTCTTACATCATAGTTATAAGGTGGTAGAGATGTTATATTACTGTCATAATGTTACAAGAACAATGTATTGTACCTGTAAGCCGGCAATGATATGATATCATGCAAACAAAATCCTGATCACGATCGATCAATGATTCAACCAATTTCAATATTTTCTAAGCACAGCGCTGCAGGCTGTACAATGCCACAACTCGAGGAAAAAGTGCCATGTGGCTTGCATCATGTGACGGGCTGCAAATCAATGAAATCATTCAAATTATCTATACTACTCCAATTTACAAAGCGCCGTAGCCTTCTGCTATAAGAAAATGATCGTCTAAGTCTTCTCCCTCGTCCGCTTCTATCATATCGGGATCATCTTCCAGTTCCTCCTCCTCTTCCAGTTCCTCTTCCTCTTCGTCATATCCGTCCTCCTCAATCTCTCCCTCTCCCTTAGCATCTTCCTCCCCACCTT